GCATGAGTAATAGCTAACATTGCATACACATGACGAATATCTCAGCATAGCTTTATTTTACCTGATAAATCGGACAAACGTATTTGGCGACGGGAGAGCAAACCTGTCGTTACGCTCTTGATTGCAGACATACGGCAGGTGATCTCAACCTAAGCCGGTGCAATATGAAACTTGCAGCCTTGTGAACTTTTGTCGCCTTCAAAATTAATTATCGTTGTCTGTATATACCCGTGAATTAGTCCTATACGGTTAAAATCTGGAACTTTTGTGAAGTCAAACTGTCACAGTAAAGGGGAAGGGTCGTGTGCATTCATACTAGCTGCTGTGTATGCACGACACTAAATCTGAACCTATGGCGCCTCGCTTGAATGTATGACAGTAAGGATGGCCCCAGTATGGCGCACGTCCAGTCACGCACCGTCTACCATCTCAAATGAAGTTACCTGCTTTGTATACTTAGTTAATGTCAGGGGATGGAAGCATCAGTTCAACTTTTCATAAGTTACAATGAAGCAATGGCATCAAAATAAGGTTTTTTTTTGGATACAGGTGTGCTTGTTTCCACTGGAGTGATTGTGTCAGGCAAATTAATTAACCACGCCAACACGAGTGTACGATCGCTTGATGCATGCATGCATGAATCTGATGAAGTGGTACCTGCGCCATTACAACTTTGTTAATCAATCACAGCGAGATTCTGAGCTTTCGGGGAGTCCTTGTTTGTAAACAAGTTTAACTTGCGGTATTAACCTTATGGAGATTGAAAACTGACTTTATTATGAGTGATTACCCAACAAAGTTCAGTCGATCCAACTACATGTACCCACTTGCCGTTAAGACCAGTTACGCCGTGCAATGGTACTGGTAATAAATTATTGCATTACGTAATGTGACATGCAAATGGGCGAGGCTGCTTACGACAGGGGAACCAAACTTGGGACAATTGAGATGTTCGTTGTACACTGAGTTATAAGGTGGCATTTGTTGTGAAGATTTGGCAGGATTGACTCATAATGGACAAACATTGCAATGTTATGAAAACACTTAAATCAGGTGACTTCGTTATGGTGAAATGTCAGCGGAATTTGTGTTTGTCGGTTCCTTCCTATTGTAGAGTTACAATTTCTGGAGACGTGCTGTCAATTCAGTTTTTCTCTGATATCGTGCTGACATGGAAACACCTCAAGGGTAAACAAACTAATCAAATTATACTCCCTAGTGTAAAGATAAACATCTAATCAAGGATTACGATTAATGATATCGCCTTGGCTGTCTATACGATTTGAAAGAAAACTCTCTCCGCAATAAGATCGTTGATATTTGTTTAAAACATTCACAGTGTTGCTTCTAGAATTCCTGTCATTGGCTCACCATGTAGTTCAGTATCTGTTTGTATTCCCAATTTATGTATGATATAATCTTCTTACCTGTAGGGAAACTTTGTTGCTGTTTGCAGTTTGTAATTACAAGTCACACCCCATTTAAAAAAAAAATTGAATGTCTAATTTTTGGGGAAGTTTTTGAGGCCATTGCACCGGTCTTCCTTGAAAAACGGCTGACTGGTTCTGAACCCAAAGATATCAACCAAGGCCCGGCACACCTGCACCGTCACCGCCTAGCAGAACAAGGACGTTCAGCTCCCGTCGAAGCCCGGGGGCCTGTAACACCTTTCACAAAGAGAGAGCGAGGGTATCCATAACCCGTCACATGAGCCCCCTCATATCTCCGGCGGGTTGCCAGTGTCAAGTTTGGAGTGGACCTTGACGGCCCGGGATTCAGGGGGGTACCGCCCCTCCGTTTGTTGTCGTACATGACGCGAGCACAATGGGAACGCTACGGACCATACCAGCGAGAGAGAGAGAGAGCGAGCGAAAAAAAAATGTTCCCCGCGCATAATACACGAAGTATGGGTATTGCGGAGCGGGTTGAACGACCGGGCTGTCAGCGACCGTCTTGCCGGGAGCTGGTGCTTTTCCAAGCCCCACTTGTTACAGCCGTTCAGGACTTTGAAGTATTTATTTTTGTTGAAAGAAAATAGCGTATTGAAAAAAGCAAATCGTGATTGCATGGACTTTGGAATGGTTGGAGTCTAATCTGGCTTTGCTTAGCTTCTTCAGCCATACCTAGGGACCTTAGATAAGCCTGACTGTGGCTGATAGCGTACATTATCGCAAGTAATAATCCGAATTCGTGTGGCCATTATTTTGCAAACAGTCTTCACATTTTTACGCCAAGCTAGCAAAACAGCTGTCTGCAAGCAGGAAGTTTGCAAGGTCACACTGTAGAGGAAATATTACAATACCTCCTGCAAAATGTAAAATGTCTTGCTGCATTTGGTTTCAAGTAAACTTCAACTTGAAAACGAGCGGTGTGCGTATTCTCTGTAGCGGTTAGATTTCAAGTCAGGTCTAGCAAAAAGGTGAGGAAATCGTCAATGTTTTGAGCACGTGGTCTTTTAAAAATCCGATATACGTTACGTTTCATTAACGTTCAGAATCCAAAAGTAAAGAACAACCAGTTGGATTGCTAAAATATAGTTTGCAATTAATGGCTTAACATCTGGCAGACTGGTTTTCACAAGCAGAATTTCTGGTAAAAATCTCGCGGCAGGGAATTATTAAGTAAACTGAAATCGAGATGTACAGTATTTCAACAAAGTAGGCTTATTGGGGAAGTGGTAATGAAAGGAGACGGAAAGACACTTCTTTCCAAGAAGACTGTCGTAAAGGGCCCATGTGGAGAACTTTTTCGATATTTATTTAGTGCAACGTTTTACTCTCAAATGTTTGAAAACCATTTGACATCCCATCTTGCATGGTTTGTGTGCCGTTTTGAAAAGTGCATTCCAAAACGTTCAACATTTTTCGTGCTTTTCCGGGCAACTGAGGGCGCTGTTGTGAAATCATTCTGAGGAGGCATTGTTTCAGTTTAGGGATTTTTCCTCTCAGATCGTGAACCCCAGAATTTGCTCCGAGAAAGCAGTTGTGAGAAAGGGGTTGCTCATTGGCTGACTCGAATCTGGGTACTTATTAGGCGACGAATCCCCAAAACAAGAACATATTACGACAGCAAAATAATCACAATCTTGTCAACTTTGTCTGCCGAAGTAGCTGTAAGATTGGGGTTTGAGGCCAGCATGGGTTTGCTAATAATGTAATAGGAGAGGGCAAGATTTGACAATAAGATTACATGGTTCATTAAATTTGGTTTCAAGGACTGTTTCAAATAGTTTTTCCAAGGACTGCGTTAAAATAGCATGCATTGGACCTTTTCGCTCATCAATGAAACGGCCTCACAAAAACGGTCGTCTCAGACACACTGATGGAATGCTGAAAACAGACACAGGGCCTTTTCACAACCAAAGACGCAGTTGTCGGCATCGGTTAATTGAAGTTTAACATGCAGTCAGGAAAGATATATTTTTCATTCGTTTTGTTGTACATAAATCGTGGTCGTTACCCCCATCCTACATTACGTCAGCACTCTCATATATTACATAGCTATTTCCTATTACCTACTAGGTATGAGTTGCCAAAGTTTGCAGATATATCATCCTATAGTTCTTGTCAAGTTTAGCCTCAAACTGTGCATTTCCCCTATTACTTAATGAGTCGTAGTTTCACTTAGTGGTCAGTAGTATTATTTGTTGCTTGGTATTTTGATAGCTGACTGCACTTAGCGAATTATTCTCTTATTTCCGTCACGTACTGGCAGTCAGCCACAGTTTGGCCATCCTCCAGTTGGCAAAATACAACTACGACGTAGGGGGAGAGAGATCTATTTATACCACCGGCAACTGTACGGCTCCCCTCCATTGTGCTGGATTTGGACACAATCGTCAAACTTTGTGAGGGAAAAAGAGAGAAGCAGAGACACAAAGAAACCATTTCTTGGGTTTTGTCCTTTGTTATTTGTTTTCTTTCTTGGGAAGCAAACTTCTCCGACCAATGGCAGTCTTCAGGGCATGTTCCCAGCTCCGACCCTACTCTATACCAAGCTGAGGACCACCTGCACTAAAATCTATTTTTTTACCAGTCTTCACGTTGTCACTTTCGAAAAGACTGGTATATTGAGCTGGTCAAAAGCTTTCTCATTGACCTTCATGACGGAAAGCCATGGAGTGTCTTGCCACCATAATCTTTTCATGCTCTTGTATGTCTAGATTTTGCTTATTTGTTACTTTTGTTCGCTCTTTATTTCAGTCGTGTCTCACGTAAACACTTTTCTTTCGGCTAAAACACTGTTCAAGTGGTAGTTATACCAAACATCTTAAATACAACCTCTTGTTTCCAGCGGGATATATAGTCAAGATTCTAACCACGAGGGACTGGATATCACGATGGCGAGGAAGAACAAAAAACGTATCATGTATCATTATTTTTCCTTTTCTTGTTGAATCTATTATATTTTATGATTTGCCAAATTTTCCAGTGGGCCTGGGGCGAGTGGACGACAATTTTGTGATGGAATTCCCCGCCCATCCTCCTTCTTTGTGTAAGACCAGAAGCTATTAAAGGGCATTAGATCGAAACAGTGGCTCCCCCTCCTAGTATATCATGTGTGCAGAATATTCATGGTATGTACCTATGTGTACCGTACGCGATTACGACCACCGTAACTACGCATTTCCCTCCTTAATGTCAGTCCCTCCTTTTTCGGCAATGCTGTGTCAGTTTTATTTTTACAGTCATTAATTTTTAGCTTTAATGGTACAAACATCTGGAGAGGACTTTAAGTCAAAGTTTGGGTCAAAGTATTAAATTTTTTAAATATTTTTTTCTCTGGACAGAAGGGGTATATAAGCAGAGTGGTGGTTCAGTAATCTTTGTTCAATTCGGTACAATTTGAGGAAGTATTTTCTTCACATTGCAATAATCTGTAGGCTGTTTCTGGCCACTTGTAGCATCTTGAGTCATCAAGCTAGAAGACAGAAGGTAGTCTTAGTTGGTCTACCTCACTGTGTTCACCTGTACTGTGTATGTCTTCGATTGTTCTGGCAGGTTTGTGGGGAGTGGTCAACAACGCAGCTGTGAACGGGCTTGGGGAGTTGGAGTGGATAAGCCTGGACCAGTTTAAGTCTGTGACGGAGGTGAACCTCTGGGGCAGCATTAGGGTCATCCAGGCTTTCCTGCCCCTCATCCGCCGCAGCAAAGGTGAGTCGCTAACTGGAGCAGTGCGGTCGAAAATCTCCGGTCATTTCGGAGAAGAGCGGCAGCCCGGGAGAAAGACGTAATGACTGAGGCTAGTTCTTGATTAAAAGAAGGCTCCTCAAAATTTTGTTCCATTTTTTTCCAAGAATTCCCAAACATATTCATAATCCTAAAGCATATTGCAGGTAGCATATATATTCTGTTCCTCGTACAGCTGTAACAACACAGTTTCGGTATTCCAGTTAGCATTCACTTATGAAATTGTTACCTTTTTCACTTTGGCTAACCATTTTGCTTTATCAAAGATGGTGCCATCAAATTTAAAGAGTCTTTCAGTGTGTCATTATTAATTATATTTTACTAATAGATCTTGGTAAGTGACGCTTGAAAGCATCAGGAACGTCCTGTACAGCCAACATATTCGTATAGATTTTGTTAACTTTTCTGGATTAAGTTGTATATTATTACACCGTCAGTGTAACAAATGTTAAACTTCAGAGCATCAACGTATTCGCAAGTGTTTGAAAGCTGCAGAGATATACGGTCACATCGAAATGACCCTCCTCTTTTGGGGGTATGAATTATTTTGAAACCATGCTATTTCTTGAAATTCTTGCGCACTTAAAGGAACGTACGTTTATAGAGTTTTACGGGTTGAATGTAAGGTTGGGTTTTATTACACAGAAGTCTGGGGTTAATCACATATTTTACCTTGGCAGTTGCGAACAGAAACGGGGCACAAAGGAACGGCTCGTGATGTGATAAGTAACTGCTTCTAAGTTTAGATGGAACTGTGAAGCGATAAATCCTGCCCCGGAAGAGGTTCTCAATTAGGCCCACTTCGGTATAGGGGATTACAGGAAGGGGCTAGATTCAACAGGTGTAAGGGGGTTACCTGAGGAGGGGGTCACACGGGGCTCTAATTCGGTCATCAGTCAGAGACAAACGAGGACAACAGGGTCTCCTGGGTACAGGTGTAGAGTGGTTTGGTTCTCTTTTTTTTTTATCGGTCAGTGTTCTCGGGTGGGGGAGATGACTCCACATTGCAGGCTTGATAAGAACCTGCCACAGATGTTTGCGCCATTTTGCCAAGCTAACACAAACTAAATCCAAACGGATGACTGAAATGCGGTTGCTGTTCTTGTAGTGTCGGGCAGCCGCAAACTTTAAGCATCCCCAAACGGAAGTTAAACCTTAACCCTCACAATCCTTGATCTCCAGTCTTTATATGAATGGAATTTTTCACACATACCCCATTGAGTCAGGGTCAGTTCGGCACATTTTCAGTTACAAGTGGAAAAGGGGGACAGGCATTAACCTACGGACACTGCAACGGTTTCGAGGATCAAAACTAGAATCTCTCTTTTCATATGTGTTTCGTTATGGGTAGTCAAACTATTTGGACTGGCCCACTGCCATAATCTTCACCCTACACAGTTAAAGTCACATGCGGCCGAGACGTCCGATGATCTGGGGAAAAATAAAAGAAATCGATCAGTTGGCAAGCAGGCTTATAACTTTTTTGTATCAGAAGTATCTGTTGCCCAAAGTATCCGTCTATAACTAAGGCCCCCTTCCTCTATTGGGGTAACGATTTCTTAACTCTGAGCTCGCCTCCCCCCCCCCGATAAAAACAAGCCTAGTGGCAACTCGCTGAAATGCATTTACACCTTATACCTGGCCGATTGTATCCACAGGTCGCATCGTCAACATGAGCAGCATCAGTGGCCGGATGAGCTTCCCGTGCAGCTCGCCCTACTGCCTCACCAAGTACGCCGTGGAGGCCATGTCGGACTCGCTCCGCCACGAGATGTACAAATGGGACGTGAAAGTGGTGCTGGTGGAGCCCGCCAACTTCGCCGGTGAGAACGCGGGGGACTTCTTGGCTTGACCAGAATCCACTTTGCAAGGAGGGAGAGGGAATCATTTCAGATTCCTTTGGTTGAAGGGGGAACTCAGTGTGTTTTGTTACACACAGTACTTGAATAAAAGAAACGAGAACCGATCTTTGTCTGCTCAAAATTCTAGGCGCAGGTTCGGGGGGGGGGGTCCCAGTGACCCCACAAAGGGGTTAGGAATACCGCAGTGAGTAGGCCGGGTAGTTGAAACAAATTTCGATTATGGGGTGCACAGCAGGCTCTAGAAAGTTCGCTGGCCGGGGCTGAAAAATAATTTTCGTCTCAATAGGGTGCACTTGGGGTAGGGTGCGGGATGATGTTCTGATGGGGAGGGGTTTGCCCGTCTGAAAGAAGCCTAATTTCGGAAAGGTTCTTAAAAGGGGTTCCTCTGGCCTATGCCGATTAGGAGGGGGCGGAAAGGGGGACAGGAAGATCCAATTAAACTTTATTAAACCAAATGGAAAAGGAACAGTTGGTTAGGTGAGAAAAAATACTTTAGGGGGGGAAAAATTTATGCACCCCCGCACAATGTAAAAGTAGGACGATATCGTTACCTGAAGTCTGACAGGGATTGCCCCTTTTGTTTTTGCTGAAGAGAATACAATAGGGTATTATTTTTAAAGATTTAATCCCGAGACTCCAAGAATTGGTTTTAGTCACAACTCGGTAATATTGAACTGAAAGCGAGGTTAACTTTTTCTGTTTTTGGAAACTGAAAATAAAAATGAAAACAATAAATAAAGTTTATTATAAATCAATGACATTTATTTATTTGTAATTGATTTTATAAAAATGTTTTAAGCCGTATTTTTAAAAAATGAAAGCAAGGCATGGAACCCAGTCTACTCTGGTACCACTACCACCCCATTTCACACATTATGGGAATCAAGAATGGCTTCCCTGTGAAAAAGTTCTATTTCGTGGCGATGTACGCGTGGTTTTTCTTAGACTGGCCAAATTGTTGTTTCTAGCTATGCCGCGGCAGTTTCAAATACTCATTCCAGCAGTTTTCTTCTTGTTCGACCCATCCTTATTTATACAAAAGGTTGGTGAGAACCTAGTCGATTGAGCTGAGTCAGTTTTACGCCCCCAGGTTGTCCACCGTGCAAAATGAATCATATTTTTCCCTCGATCAAAATACAAGCATTCTGCGCTTATCGTTATTATATACTGCACTTGGATCATAAACCGATCATAAACCTATATAAAACATTTTTTAACAGGAGCAAGCAATTTTTTCACGAAGGAGAACATCGAGAAGATCTTGCAAGGAGTGTGGAGCACCATGTCCGACTCACTGAAGGAGGAATACGGCACGGAGTACTTCGACTACGTCATGAGGTCCATGTGCTCCTGGTCTGGCCAGGGCTCGTCCGACCTGCAGCCCGTCCTGACAGCCGTTGAGGACGCCATGACGATGCCCCAGCCCCGGGAGAGATACGTCGCCGCGCCTTTCGCGGTGCAGTACTTCCTTCTCTTGCTGTTCATGCTGCCCACCTCCTGGGTGGACCTCTTCTTCAGTTTTATGTCCGGTAGGTCCAGCCTGCCCCGGGTCCAGAAGGAGCCCCAGACACCACTGGCGTCGCCTCTGCCGCCCTCCGTGACGCCTGATGAAAACGACAACGTCATCACTGTCAATGGGAGCGCCGCCTCCAACGGAAACGTGGAGCTGTAGAGTCGCCCACGTTGCAGCCACCACCTTTGTAACCAGGGTAACAAATGTGGTACTGTTGATTGACGAACAAAGGAATCATGTGATTCAGACTACATTTGTCATAGGCAGTGCCGTAATGAAATCCAAGATGGCTGCCCTCATTCAAACAGTTTACAATGGAAGTACTTATATTAGATGGTTGTAGCCACATAGGGCAGTGTTGTACTTGGGTAACAATGTAATTTTACAGCTCTGTTTTACAGGAGGCATTAATTTGCATATCCTGTGGTTTTTGTACCAGATAAACATCACGATTCCAATTACCTCGTTAACGCTAAAAAATATTTGAAACTGTCATGCAGTTATTATGTATACGCCTATGAAATATATATATAGTTTTATCTTTAAGTTTTAACTTGCAAGCTTGAGTCGCGTTTATAAAAGGCAAGGTGTGTGGATATGTTTGTACATACAATTTCGTAGATTATTTTTAACATTCAGTGTATATAAACCGTACACTGGCGATTCAAACCATGCGACTTTTTCACACCTCAAAACCTACCTGAAGTTCTTAGGAAAGGCGCTGAATATTTGACGGAGACCCTCACTTACACTGGAGTAATCTTAAACCTAAAAAGGGATTTGATTTCGTAAACTTTGTAGGGAGGTCTGAATGGCATTAAAAGTTTAATTGATCGGCCGCAACTTTTGACCTTAAGGTTCATGATTTATAGGCTCAAGTTGAGTCGAGCAAAGTATTCTGAAAGGTCATTCGGCAGTGGATGACCTTCATATTTAACGTACAATTGAAATTGAATTTGACAGGGTAGATAAATACGTGAGGACTGCATCCATAGCTCCCCAATAATGTGACCCCTTTTTGACTTCGTTATTGCACATGATCCGGGGACCTGTAGCTTTTGGCGTTATTGCACGGGATCCCAACTATCCTGTGGCAGGATCAGTGTTTAATTAAAAATCTATTGTGTTTCACGTGCTTATACCTTTTCATTTATTTTGGGATAGCACGTTTTCGACTGCATCCTATTATGATAATGATTGTGCCCCGTTATCCGGATGAGCCGTGGATTTACTCATGCCGTTCATCCCCCGACTGAACTTTCAAGTTGCCGAAACTAAAACCAACACGGAAGCCTCTCAGGTGAACTTCTTGATTGATTATTTCCACAATAACACTTCCAGCCTAATTAGGCCTGGCGGCCTGTAGGGAACCAGGACGTGCCGACGGGCAGGTCAGTTCCCCCCTCTCAGTTCCCATGGTGGGAACGTCTTTGCAGATGTTCGTTTGCAGTGAAGGTATTAGAAGGTTATATTTAACCATGCATTTTGACGAGTAACAGAGAAAAAGGAAGAATCCAAAAGGTTCGACAGAATGTCAAAGCCTGAAAGTCAAAGTGACAGACTTGTCACGCTGACAAGACTTATTGTTTTCCAAAATGACGGAGGTCCTTATTTGTCTTTCTGACAAGAAAGTTTGTCAGAATGGAAATATCGCAGATTCTACTGAATAGGTGAAAATCCTGTCATTTTAGACACCAATCTGTGAAGCAAATCGAGTTTCCCCCCGTTGTTCAGGCACCGTCCTTTCACAGATATATTCACGAAGTCTGAGTTGTCCCCTCCCAAATTTGCCCACCTTACTCTCATTTCCAACATGTAGACTTGGACAGATTGTAAAGAACTACATGTATGTCCTTCTAGATAAAAAAACTAACTTTATAAAAATCACACCATTCCTTAGCCTAAACCCTTCTCGAAATGGATTGGTTTCTCCACATATTTCCCTTGAGTGCCTGAATACCTTTGCTGTCGACTGAGGATAACAGAATGCAAGGAAAGATTCGGATACCGAAGACTGGAACGAAGACGAAACGAAGATGCTCGTTTCACCCATGGCTATAATAAAGTACCGTTAGTCTTTAACAGGTGTTGAAAAGTCGATCCTGATCTATGTTCATCGTTATAGTGAGGACATTACAGTGGATCTGTTTAATTAAACGCGATAGGAGAAACATTGCTATGATACTTGTGCTTACGGGCGAATTACGGCTGAGAAGTACGATCTCTTAACCGTTTTTAATGACGGAGCTTTTTACAAGGAAAACGGAGACGCCACGATTGCCAAGCACGCTAGAAATTCCTCGTCCCGTGCCCCATGCAAAGTTGCTCGAAACCAGTCAACAGTAGGCCCAAGTGCGTTTAGCACGAGCGGAGATGGTTAGTACGCCGTCGCTGGTGAACCCAAAATTAAATGTTCTCAAGATTTAAACGCGGGCCACCAGCGTGTAGTTCAATCAATGTACTGCACAATTAGGTGAAACCCCCATGTTCCATTACCATCAATTTGTGAACGCTTTTTGTTTCATAGGCAGAGGGCGCTGTTTATTATTGCAGAGTAGATTTCTTTACACCGCAGCGTATTTTAGGAACAAAAAAGCAGCGTAGGCCGACAGATCCACTTGTTAAAATAAAAAAGCGAGATAAAAGTGCTTCTAGTACAGGAATACCTCGATCTTACTGTTGTAACATAAGGCTATACATATCTTATTGTCGATGTAAATCTCGTATTTGCTTTTAGCTTTTTGTGCGTCTTTTCATACTCTTGAAATATTGATTGTTAAGAATCGTCGCAGACATGGGAAGATGCGTAACAGTTGTACAAAATTTCATGATAGCGAATTACAAATGAGTATGAAAATGTGAAGTAATTCATTAGTGAGAATGACAATATTGTGAGCATTTCTTCTTGTGTTGTACCACTGTCAAAGTTAGTACACCACCTGACCATTATTTTGTGAGTAGTGGCGTAACTATATGTACGGGGGAGGCCGGGGGGATGTGCCCCCAAGTGGATACCCGTGCCCCCCCTTGAAATCTATGAATAATCTCCGTTGAAATGCAGCTGCAGCGTGTTTCCTTGTGGTGCCCCCTTGAAAAAATACGTGCACCCCTCAGGGGCCCATCCCTGGACATGTAGCCCTTGTTGCGCCATTGCTTGCGAAGCGTTTTTCTAATATGTTCTGAGCGCATAGGCTATTGTTCTGTTCTGGTTGCTGTAATAAATTATGTTGTTCAATAGAGAGGTAACCCTGCCTGGTTCCCAGTCATGCAGGCATCTTTATCGCACTTCAAAGAACCGCGCCTTCCTTTTCGAAAAACCTGCAGCTCCTTTGTTATAGACTCATGGCGATTTTGTTCTCAGTAGGTATTCGTAATTTGGAATGATCCGTTATTGTACAGTTAAATCATTACATTTCATTTTGCATTTGAGAAAGATTCTTCCAGGCCCTCCATATTTTCAGATCAGTACATTTTGATTAATATGCGTTTTTCCCCTCTGCACGGATTCTTCTTTTATTTGTTGTTGTTTCTTCATTTGCTTGCCTGTTTTCCCACAGCCACTTTTAGAAAGGTGGCTTGTTGATTGTGCCCTACGAGGAAACCACTAAAATAACCACTGTTTTGGTCTGATACGTTTGCACACGGAGTGAGATGGAGTTTTCGCACCACGTGAAAAATATAGTTTTGCTTTCTCTTGAAATGTAGCTCAACCGCTTTTATTTAATGTTTGAAGCGATTGCCATAACAGGAGTGAGAATTGTAGGGAACACTTTTTTAAATACCCTATTGATGGCTTGTTTGTTTCATAAAGCATTTATGGTTTTTGATCTTAACGGGTTTCACTGCGTTTGAACTTCTGTATCCATTTTTGTAGTTCAAAACTTTCAAACTCCGTACATTCTAGACAGAAAGTATTTTTGCCAAAAACTATCGAGTTCCGCTTTGCATCTTTTTGTGTAACTTCTTATTGGTGTTTGTAATAAATACACGGTCCATCATTTTTGCAAGATTTGTATCTGTCCTTATTTAAGTCTGCTGTTGGAAGTCAGGTAAGAAAGAAATTCCTGATCTCAAATCATTTTCTCAAATTCACGCAGACAATCGAGGGGCCGCGCTCACCTGTGTTGTTTGAGCAATACGGGCGATTCACAATAGTGCGCCTCCAAGAGTTTGCGACGCTTTGGCCCATCTCAACGCGCGAAATTTGTCGACCCTTTCCAAACGCGCTTTGGGTCGACAAATTTCGCGCATTGTGATTGGCTAACGCGTTGCATACTCTGGGAGGTGCACTACTGCGAAACGCCCGTATATAGGCGGCGCCCTTTACCAAACCTTGCGCGAAGAATTATTTTCACCGTTAAGTGTGCGTTTGTGTGCCGTTTCTCAAGTGCTCTTCGTCCGACAAAGTGATTTATTTAGGGGAGGGCTCTATGTGTGCGGTGGTCCCTTTGTGGCATGAAACTTAACGAAGTCCAATCCTTCCGGGTTAGTTTCGATTTCATTCTAAATCGAGTATGTCTAAATTTGATTAGCAAACAACGGGAACTCGCTACAGTTACATATATCTGAAACAAGGATATCCCCGGCCAAGTGCTCCTTGGCTTCAGCAGTAGAATCGGATTTTCCAATTAAGGCATCCACATTCAGAGTTCTGAAATAATTACATTTTTTTAAGTGGCAACTTCAAACTATTCATGGTGATAAAGTTACACCAAAAGTCTTTGTGTCGATTTGCAGCAAACTCGCCATTGGTTCCAATGGTGAAACAGCTTGGTGCTTGGAGGCGGTGGAGTTTGGAGAGGATGCTAACTCAGGATCCAACCAAGGGCACTCAAGCAAAACGTGGGATGCTAGATGATTGGTGAGGTGTGTCAGTTTGAAGGAGGGGGAGCGTTAAGGTAGGTTACCAAAGGTATAGGAGAGCCATAGGCTGGGAATATGTCCTAGGGTATAGGAGGCCCATTGGACTGGGGTGTGAAGATGGAGCGCAGGATGTCACTGATGTTGAAACCCATGTTTATTTATTTACTTTTTGCTTAACTTGCTTCCTTCACGACGGAAAAGCTTCAGAGCTCATGGTTCAAGCTACCCAACTGCCTGAATTAAGCCCAGCTTAGGGGCATTGTATACAACTGTGGGCGGCAACTCAACCGCATTGTTCTTGGAGGAAACACGAAAATAGTCATCCAGAAATGCCATTAATGTAGATTGGCGTTGGGCTTCTCAGCAGTGAAGTCTGCAAAATGACAGAGTGGATAATGCTGTAGAGCCTTAAGCTTTTTCCCCAGGAGTGTCTTCGTTTTTTGATTTCCAACAGTGTTTTGTTGAGTGGCCTTTTTATCTCCAATACACGTATTTTGTAAAAAGTGTCATTTCCTACATTAAGTGCCCTTTTGCACCGCCATTAAAAAAGAGTGGCATCGAGCCCGCCCCCCTACGCTACAATTTGTCGAGTTACTAGTGGGGGTCCGACAAGACTTATTTTGTTGTAATTATTCAAAGTGCCGTAATTCTTATGCGCCTAACGGTACCTTTCGCAATCAGATGACTTCGTGGTGAGGGCTCTGAAATCTGTGTTGAAATTGGGGGAATAGGGGATTGGGAAAGATGGGGGATGACTTGCCCGGCCATGGACATTTGAAAAGCGGTTGGGGCGGGAGCGACAGCGTATATTCACTATGTAGGGGTGATGTTCATGATAAAGATGTACTGTACTCTGTATCAAATTCATGCAGAATCGTACATCACAATGGCATATATATTTATGGCTTTTTTAAAAATTGCTTTCCTTTTTAGTGAAATTACAAACACTTTAGTCGTTGGGAAAGTAAATTCTTCACAGTCAGCTTTAATTTTTTTGATCATCACAAAAAAATGTGGGGGGTGATTCGATAGCCCATCTCCCCACCTCAAAAATTGGGGGATATACACCCCCACCCCCGTGATTTACACTCATGGCTCGAGGCACGGTCGACTTGGAGGCTAGGGTCGTTTTCCAATTATCAACCTCGTCTCAGGCTTCGTTGCCGAAACCAATCCCAGATTATGGGCCTGAAGCGTTTAAATCAAATTGGATTACTGTGAGTTTTTGCTCTTTTGCATCTTGTATGATATTTTGTGGCACTGTTAGGCTAATTAGTGCGCTTGCAGCTTCAAAGTCAGGTAGTAAAAAAAACATCTGAAGCCTGAGACGGAACCGAAGTTGAATGTTGGAAAACGGCCCATATCATTCAAGCTGGGTGGTGACGGTTGTGGTTGTCTGGGCGACCGCTATACTCCAAGAGTGGGTCCTGCATTGGCGTCGGTGAGGGAGTTTGCTTTTCTTCTTCATTTTATGTCGAACCAAAGATATATGAATAATCTAAGACCAAGCATACCTGTCGAACATCGTGAAGGGTCTTTATTCATTTTTGTTATTTCATTTTACGTGAAAGGATTCCATGAGTGCTTATACATGACTTCCCAACATCGCTCCATATAATCTACGTAATTACTCAAGGTTTGAAAATGCAACGCTCTGATAGGCGTCACTTCAGGAGCTAATCACAAAAGTAATTAACACAATTTGTCCAGACTCTTCAAAAGAAGCACAGGTCAGTAGAAAAACAGACAAATCTTGGGAAAGTCAAAAACCAAAAGAACTATTCACAGGTTCACTCCCCCCCCTTCTGCGCAGACCTTTAAGTTTAAATATTTAGTTTTTCTCAAAAGTATAAATCAGCTGACACAACAGGATTCCAAGAATGTGCATGCACCAGGATGGTTCCAGTCGGGTCCCCTATCAAAAAGACTGTGGATGTTACTCACAGATCAAATATTTGCCACTGTGTGCGTTCCAGTTGCTATTAGCAACCCCAACGTGATATTATAGTGTTGCCAAATACATACAAGGCTGGACTTTGGATTCAGATGGATAGGTGACGCAGTATGAACTCAAGGCTTGCAAATGCGCTTTATACAAATTACAGAGATGTTATTTTAATATTATCTTTTTACTGAAAGAAAATTCCAAACCTCAAGGCTTGTATATTCACACCCACCTACATTTTTCGAGATGTATTATGTTTTCCTCTCTTTGAACATCGTAATGTCATCTCTTGTGTTTAAACACGCAATTCAGCCTCCGTCATTTTATACTGATCTGCTACACAAAACATTTTTGTTCTTCCTTCAACTGACGTTTGTATTTCCAACATACACTCAAAGATATTTATATGCATAATAATCTTACAAGTCATTCATTTCGTTTCCATCACAGTATGTACATGTACCTGAATGATAGCTATACCGGGTAAGCCCGTATGGAATTACATAAACAACGCATTGAAATTTTCCTAAGAATCCCTTTTGGTGCATGTTCAAACTGTTCTTCAATATATGAACACTGTTTGAAATCTTTCTGGAGTTAATTAAATAGTAAAGTGCATATTTAGGAAATATTTAAAATTTACCAAGTTTTTCTACACAAGCAGGAAGCTGTTAGTGTGACTTTCCAGGAAGATACTCTTCAGTTTGCACGTTTTCATGTTCACATTTTGAACCCCAATTTTGCTCTATAAAATCATCTCTGAGAAAAGGTTGCTGTCTTGCTTACTGCATTGACTTCTGTTTCTTACGGTTTTCTGGAATTGGTTGCAAAATAGGGAATGTATATGAACCCGGATATCACACCAGGTACAATAGAGATGCAGTCTTCGTTAGACAGGATGCGATATCTTAAGCAAATATTGATTTGTAGAGCTCATTACTGGGGCAACTGATCCAGAGGTCACCAATTTCAGGTCACCCCGCCCATTATCTCGCCCATTTTGTGTGCAGTCACCAATTATATCTGTATCGAAGTTGGTTCCACAGTTCCTACCAAGTGTCAGTGGCATGTTGTGTCCACCTTTTATCTTCTGCTTTCTAAATAGCTCACATAAACCCAAGCAAAGCTTTATGACGGTCATAAAATTGATACAACACCAATTATCTTTAAACACTAAATAGCATATGGGCAACAGAGTCGTTGATGAACAATTCTCCGTAATCTGTACACGAGAAGCACTTTTGAAGTCAAATATATACAGGTGGTTTTCACTGAAATATAACGTTTTCAGAACAGGCAATAACTAGCTAGATATATATACTGTGGACAAACTAAAACAAAACAGCATAAAAGTTTACATTTTCTACATCTCTCCATTACACAAGTAACAAACTGCCTACATTTCCAGCGTGTATTTTTTGCCGAGATTTAAACGCAAAAAAATGGTCCCGAGCATCCATGAAAATACCTTCTTCATTATGAAGTAGGTACGGTACATAAAAAGTAGTACATAAACCAAGTTGTGTTGGCTTAATCGCAACAAAGCTACGATGGTAACAATATTTCAGTGTTCAAAATAATTTTTATTAATTCCAGGGAAAAAGTCCTTGAGTCCTTTCTGGTTTTCAGTAGCTTATTTGCAAATCACCTGTCTACGTGAGTCGAAAGACGAACAAATTGTGTGGGATGATTTTACACTTTCAAAATAACGGAATCCTCCACAAGAAAATTGAATTGCACTAAATCTAGAAAGAAAAGTTCATCACACTATGACTGCAAGATAATTGGAGGAGTCGTGATTCCCTGTCAAATTCTAATTCATCTTCGGATGTCAGGCGTAGCGAATTTGATTATCACTGGTTCTCTGCACATTGTGTTGATTCAACCAACGACTGACTATTCCTTCTCCTGCATTCCAGCGTTACTTATTCCCCTCTTCTCCTTGGGTATCTTTGCTCTTTTATTCTTTTTGCCCAAGATGTGCATCAGTTCTGCGGGCATGTAGTAAGGCTTCTCCGGGGAACCGTCGTTCCGCTCCAGATCTTCCAGGAAGCACAGGAACAGCGTGTCCACACCCATGTCGTACACGCCGAAGGCCACGGCGGCGATCACGTAGGTGAAGACAGCGATGACCAAGATGGGCGCCCAGATGTAGTTGAGGGGTTTGGTCTCCTGCAGCAGAGGGTTGTTCTCCCACGTGAAGAAGTAGAAGGAACCGACTGTGACCCCAAGGGTGACCGTCAGCTTGAAGATGAACAGCATAAAGCTAGTGATGCTGTTGAGGACGGCGGCGCGAAGAATGTTCCGCATGAGGAGGCAGAAGGCGTCCCTCGCGGCAGCGCAGAAGGAGCGGCCGTAGACAGCGATCTCAATGTAGGCGTTCCGGTTGATGTAGCGGATGAACTTCTCCAGACACCAGAAGAAGCACTTACAACAGCACAACATGAACTTGGCGATTAGGTTTCCCACACCGCAGCCCTTTATTCTCTTTTCCGCGTACTCGAGCATAACTCGAATGATCTGGATTATGGTGACGATCAAGGAGCCAAAGGCTAAGGAGCCGAGGTGGTACCGGACAGCCCTCCACATAGAGCTCAGGATGGGGATCGCTGGGATGTCTGCTGGCTTGCTGAAAGCCCAGTAGAAGGATGCAAAGGCCCCGGCTAGGGACATCTCCCCAAAGGCAATGATAAAATTGACCATCCAGAAGAGCCCAAACACCATGTAGATTTGGAAATACAGGCGATAGACGGGTGTGTCGAAACTGGAAAACTCGCACTTGGCCGGGAACGAACTGTTTTCGTCAAAGATCTCTTTGTCACATTCGGTGCCATTCGCAACACTGTGCCCCTCCGGTGCATCAATGACCTTGTAGGTTGCCTTCCCTGTGGACGCTAAGAAGACCATGACGAAAGCCCAGAAGACAGCGAAGACGATCTGCAAGAGGAAAGGAATGATGGGAGCAAAGAGTGTGGTGATCATCATACCAAGGGCACGACTGGCCTCCTCCAGCAGCGCCGTGGCGATACGGATGCGCTTGAACAATCCCAAGATGAGCAGCAGCAGGATGACCCCAACCACGGTCAGGATGATGGAGAATGCCAGCCAGATATTTGGTGACTGCAGGTAGCAGTTGATATCCAGATAGTTGAAGCCGGAATCTCCGATGTTGCCACACTTGCTGGAGTCGATGTACTGGAAATACCGCGAGTAGCAGAAGTAGTTGCCAAAAGCTACCAAGGCAACAAAAAGGAGAATCACGCCCCAGACGACGATAGACGCTATCCACTGCATAGCAACCAGGAGGAAGAAACAGAAGAGCATTGCAGCTCCCAGCGCGGCCAGGATGAAAGGCCACGTGCTCAAGAAGTCATCCACAAGGTTCTCGATGAGCTCTATCCCGTACACAAAGTCAACCAGTTCCTTGAGGGTGTCTACTTCGTCCTGGGTCACATTCCGACCGTTTTCAGTCTTGCCGTCCGCGTTCCCAATTTGCACGGGCAAGCACCTGCCGGCAAACGGTGAGGACGGGAGATAGTAGTTGGCGCATTTCTCATCACGGACAAGATCCCACATTCTGTTGGGATCATTACCGACATACGCCTTGGGATTGACGTCATACAAACAGATGAAATCATCCCAGTTGACTTTGTCCAAATCAATTAAGTTAGTGAGGTACTTTTCAACGATAGAAAAAGCCTGGGTCGGACACTGCTGGACACAAACCTGAGGAGTAGGGCAGGATAACGTCACCAGGACACTCGAGGACAGACAGGCCAGCCAATCGAAGTAGAAGACGAAGGGCTTGTCCGCGACCTCCTTGCTCTTGCCGCATATCTGGCCGCGGTAGTCGGAGGGGTAGATGAGCGTGTCCGGGTTGCCGTACAGGAGAGAAAAGACGGCCACCACCGCTACACCAGCCAGGAAGAGAACGAAGATGAAACAGCAAATCACATCCGTGCAGCTACGGTTGCGGATCGGGCCCTGGAATGTCGGGTCGTACTGACGCGGTTTCCCGTATTTCTTCTTCAACTCCGGGTCGTCATCTTCCCGCTCATCAGCCTGATGTGGTTGACTGATCTGCTCCACCGATGTGGTCTTCCCTTTTTTCTTCCCGCCTGAACCCATTTTTTAGTTGTTTTGGGCCCAAATGTAACGCAAAACTTAGGGGCGAAGTAAGTTTCGCAAATTGACACTACATTAGCTTGAATGGTTTGGATCTGGCTTGCTCATGCCACGAAGCCTTTAAATATAACGCAGTGGTCTTACTGTTTCACGGTGAAATACCGGACTTTGCTCAATTTATACTTCAACCCAGCATTTTGTTTCTACTGTATCGTAGCACACGACTAATGCCTGGTACTGCATAGCCTATCTATTGTTTGTCGAAGAGTTAACAATTAACTCCAAACCATTATGTCCTGCTCATTATTAATATCAATTTGTAATCACTGGAAATGACACAGCTCTGCCACATCATGTTTATTTGGGGCCCTTTCTTGAATTATTTCTTTTCGAAACTCCGTTTCAAAGAAAAGTAAAAGCCTGGTTCCAATACAGCGGCACCATCCGATATGATTTCTCTATAATGCCCTAACCCTTGGGCTGTAGTGAAAGGTTTATGAATATTGTTACCACCCAATATTTTCTTTCTGGAAACTGCACTTTTGGAAGAAACCACACTGACCTAAAAACAGACAGTTAAGGCGCATTGGTGATATCCAAATAACATTTTTATGACCGTTACTTGATACAGAATTTAAAAGTGTGCAATTACAGTATGAAGAGTCATTGGGCATATAATATTGCACACTTCTGGCAAAGCTATAGATTCAAGACATCGTTGCTTAATTAATTAAGTGGTAATTTCAGTGGTAAGATGACAGACCAAACACAATGTTTCAGAAGACTCTGATCCTTAAGAATTCATGGGAAGAAGGATGCTTAAAAATCCATTGTTCATACAGATTTTTTTCTAGAATTCTGCTGACCTCTTTTAGACCAGTTGGGATTGAATACAACAGTAATTTACTCAAAGATCATAGAGAGCCTTTGCTTTCTGAAAACCAAAACCGAGTCCGGAAAACGTATTTAGCGCCCTCATTTGTTATGGAAAACGAGTCTGGCCACCGCCTCAACTGATTCCGTTGAACTTCGTCCGTACTTACATGCGTACCGCGTACTACTAGTACATACAATTTTTTATGCAAGTCCGCTGCGTCAGAATGTTGTGGCTATGGCTCAAATGAAAGGTGAGGAATCGCAGCCACCAGCCAATTAATGGCAGGCACAACGCCTGCTTGTTGACCCGGCTGCCCACAGCACGGCGGTGCATGAGCTGACAGAGGCTAGGAGAGAGCTGCTGCCACCGCCTGTCAAAATCCACACGCATGTCGTTCGTCTGGAATCAAGTTGAAGTACATGTAGCTGTAGGCTACATAGGCCTATACGCAGTTGAGAAGTAGGACTCAATAACTTCAGTTCCGAAATCATGGATTTTTATCTCCTGGTGGTGTCACACTTGTATATAGGTTAAACCTCTAGGTTCTCTCCAGTTCACTGTGCATGATAGACACCGCAATGTGAAGCTTATGCCACCCGTTCAGGAGAACTAAGGACAGAGGCCTTTTGAGATTTTGAAGCAAGAACATGGCGGACAAGTCATGGGGGAAAACGAACGCTTCGTCGGCATCGCAGGGAAATAAACCCGTTCCCATGAAGTTGTTCTCAACATGGGAGGTTGAGAGAACGGCTCCCAATTGTATCCCTAGGTAAGTTTAAAATCTTTTAAACTGGTTGTAACATTTATAAGCAAAGTGATGTGTGTTCTTTATCATCGGCACCTATGTACCGGTATCATGGTTGTGTAAGGAAACAAAATCTAGATTACTTTTATGAAGCAACTCACCTACAAACATGACAAATGTCGGCGGTGATGCCCACTTTCATATCGGAAAGATTGTGTTGTGAAAAGAGGACAGAGCTTTGCTCTCTGAGGTATATTATGAGGTAAAATGTAATTTAATGTAACGTAGGTGACACGACGAAGAGCTGTGACAGACATGACAGAAGATGAACTGTTAAAGCCAGGCTAAGTTTTAGGCCGGTGTAATGATACATGATACTACTAGGCCTAGGCTACAAAAGTACATCGTACAAAACAAGTACAAGTAAATTTAGGCCCATTTCTTTATCCACGGCTTCCCTTCGTCATGTACCCCCAGAACTGTGGGGTCTGAAGTCCACTCCTCTCCCGCGAGAGGAGAGGAGCGGACGTCAAACCCCACAGTTCTGGGGGTATTCGTCATGTTAATTGCCTCAAATTATGGCTAAGGCATGTGAGGTAGGCCGTCCGAGTAACTTAGACCCAACTTGTTTGATATTTCAACATGATCTGGCAATGTCATGAACGTCTTAGCAAATTAGCAGAAGGCCCAGTGGCTTTTTGTCAAGTCCTACATTGCATTGCATTGCAGTACCCGTAGGCATTTTACCCCATTTTACATACACACCCACTTCTCTTTCATGTCATTTATGTTTGAAGGAATACTCCGTCACATCCTGTGTTTGGTTTGAAAACCTAAACCATGCTTACCAATACCGTAGGCTACATGTGTACATGTACATACATGCAGGTGCCTTTTTTTAACATCTTTTGTTCCCCAAACTTTTCGTGATGAAGGAAGGTGAGGTTTGTCATGTTCATGCAATTTTACGTCACATGTACACAGAAACCACAGTTAATCGTCAGACAGAAGATTCCGAAATGCTGGAGAATCTTGGTGTTGAAATGACAAATGTGAAGGTCTCCTCACTTCACTCACTTGGTCATGTACATTTAAATGTATACATTTGCATTTTCATTAAATCCAAAATTTAAGCACAAAAATGCCCTTAGTACATGTATGTCAAGGTAGATATTGAAACTGAGGTGGTACTGATAGTGAACTCAAACCTGTGAACATGTATTCTGAAGGGCTGCTGTACCATACATGTAATGTGCATGTATGTACCGGTACAGTGGGCATGCCATAACTCTTCAACACTTTGTGGTAAAAGGAATAGGTCTGTGCTGCGATAGTGTACTGGTAGTGAGAGAAGATTTAAACTGCATAACTTGTGTTCCCATTGGATGTTTCTCAGGTAACTGATCTCAACTTTCCAAATTGAGTGGGAACATGTGGATACTGATGCCCCGATCAACTTGTTGCAAGTGTGATGTTAAACTACCAATGAGCTGAAAGTGGCCATGGAAGATTTCCACACAGCCACAATTAGGCCTACATGTATAGTTAAAATTATGACATTGACATGTCCAATGGGCACAGTACCATGCTGTATACATGTACATGTAAGGTACATTGTACCAGTTGTGACTGCACTGTAAAAAGTACATATGTAAGCATGGTAAGTTTACAGCCTACCATATTTGTCACCGTTACACCAAGATCAATAGCATTGATATGAAAATGATGGTATGGTTCCCTGTCTCTTTGTGTATACTGGTAGCAAGCCAACATATGAGCGTTCAACACGCACAAACAGTGTATTTTACCTGATGAAAACCACATGTACTGGGGGCACAAATTTGCCACTTAAAGCGAAGCAGTTTTGAGCACTTTTGTATGAATATTGTTTAACTGGTTTAGGTGTCAATGAAAATGCTGAAGAATATACCGGTACTAGTGCATATACGTGAACCGGTAGGCCTAGAGAAATGAAATATTCAGTCAGCACAAACAAAAAGAGCACTTGATGGTGATATTGTTGGAGAATCAAAGAAACTTCTAGTTATCATTTGAAAATGTCGCATACCGGTACATACATTGTACGTATACTGTTCGTATCCATATGTTACATGTATATTCAGTGGAGTGTGTAACGCATGAATAATGATGCGCATTGCCGCATCATATCCCTCCCAGGTCGAAGGTGATTTTCACAGTGCCCGTGGTGTGTGACATGTACCGGTACATGTATCTGCCAGTCGGGCATGGTGAATAAACATTTCCTCGCAGTTATAAAGTCCAAGTGGGAATGTGCGGCAGACTTGACACGAATGTCATGGTACATGTAAGTTTGCACGTGGCCACCTGAGGGAAAAGTCCAGTGTGAACATGGCTGTACATGCTTTGTTGCCCTAAGGTTCTCATTAGTGCCAAATGTGCGAGTCTTGATTCTTCAAAGGAAAAGTGAAGAGTGGAACAAAGAAAGTCAGCTACAGGGCAGTTCCACAGAAACATCAACCTCTGGGCCAAAATTTCAAACTGGTCCAAACGTGACAAATTATATATCATTTTGAAGCTTATGGTGTGTAGTTTCATGAAACATACTTCATTTCTAACAACATTCAAGAATTTTGCATTTATATGATACTGAAAAATTGGTTTTAAATACCGAGTAATTTGGGGAAATATGTCCCCTCTGAAAGTTTTTCTGTTTTTTAGCCTGATCATAATTTTTTTGTTGCAGTTTTGTTACAGTTTGAAGAGTGCCCCAATAAGTAAACAATGACAGAAATGAATTTTCATTTTCCTTTTGAAATTGTATGTACAGGTTGTAATGTCTTATTTTATAACACTTCCTTTTCTTATGTACGTCCGACACCAAAATGACACCCTGTATGTCATTTATATTTACCCCAATTTCTCGGTATTTAAAACCAATTTTTCAGTATCATATAAAAGCCAAATTCTTGAATGTTGTTAGAAATGAAGTATGTTTCATGAAAGTACACATATACACCATAAGCTTCAAAATGATGTATAATTGTCACATTTGGACCAGTTTGAAATTTTGACCTGGAGGTTGATGTTCCCGTGGAACTGCCCCCATTCCATTGTACCATTGGATTTTGCACTTTCATAATGTAACATTGTTGACCAAAGTAAGGTAACATCCTATGAAAGCAGAACAGAAAACAAAATCACATTTACATGTACCAGAAGAAGACATGTACATGTACTGTATAAACAAAAAAGTGTACATCATGCACATGATCATTGATGCTGCCTGTACACAACTTGTATGCTGAACAATAGCCTCTAGTAGTTCATGTACTTACCATAAATGGATAGGATAAGTAAGTACAGGTATGGGTATATATCTAACACAATGGAAGGCTAATCAAGCCGTGACCCCAACAAACACTTTGTTATCTGCCAGTAGAGGTTACCTGTACATGTATGTGTTGCTGGTGGGTGTCTCAGAGGCTGGCCGTTGCCATTTAAATATCATTACAGTGAATGCATAAATAGTTTTACCCAAGCCTATCCTAGAGGAAGAAAGAAATATGGTACATGTACACATGCACATTACCCTCTAAATATGAGACGTCAAGAGGTCTGTGAACACCACCACTCCTGCAGGTTGTGACTCATGTCTTTGGCCCATATACAACAAGCTAATCAATTGGCTTTTCTGACAGGTGGCTGTTGTTGTGTACATGATGGTTGATTGAGCTTGGGAAACACCTTCATATGCATGAACAGTTAGTCATTGTATTGATTGGGATGGTATTAGGTCTGCTCTTTTGACGTCACAGTCCTGTGTTTCCCACAAGTGGCTGCTAAAACTGTGTTGGGTCATTGGTACAAAAGTAAAAGAATCATTCACAAAGTGTTCAAAATCCCAAACAGCTGTCAGAACACCAGACATAGTGACAAATGTATTACTTTATACTCAATGAAAATAAAACCCCATTTAAAGTCGATGAGACAAATCTCCATTTTGAATAATTGAGAGGTACCCGGTTACAAGAAAAAGCCAACCAAAAGGTGATATTTCTAAGAATTTTGGCTGCTCATACATGTACAAGTTGTAGGCAAAATGAGAGTGGTCTGCACACTGGTCCATCTTGGCATAGTGGAACATTCAGTTCTCCAATCCAACAAAAGTTCACCTCATGCTCATCAATGTGTCAGGAGATTTTAACAGTAACAGTTACATGTACCGGTACATATTACATGTGAATTATACCGGTACATGTTTGTGTAATGGCAAACCATTGTTACTGTAATGTGTATGCCTGTAGAACAGTATTTAAAATAAAAAGAAATGAGGTACATTTAAAGAGAATACATGTACATGGATGTGTGCCGGTACTGCCAAAAAAAAAAATCAACCACATTGAACAAAAGAAAATAGGCTGCATGTACAGTGTACAGGTATGTAATTGCAAAAATATACTAAATGTAATGGAAACTGAAATCTGAGCTCTTTGGGTTGGCAAAATTTAACTTTACGTTTACATGTACATGTAGTTTTAATTTTCTTTGTACTTCATGTATGTACCTAGCTTCAACCCTTCAAAATTTCATGCCATGTTCATAATCCAATTAGTATAAAAAAATTCTGGCCATATACAGTACATACATGTGTACATTGCTGGTTTACTGTGGTACCGAGCATGTTGTGATACAGTGTAAGCCATGCCATTGGCATGAAGGTGTTTAAAAATTGTCCGCAGACAAAGGGAACCCTAAGTGTCTGGTTTGGTTTGAGGGTTCACTTGAGTTCATGGAAACATCCAAGAGACCTTAACCAGTCCTCATGGGAACAGTACTTCCATTCACTGTGTGTACATGTACACTGTACATGTACATGTACAGTATACAAGTAGTACCGGTACAAGTGTACATGTACATGTACAATACAGTGCACCACAGGATATACATTTACATGCACCTCTACATGTACAGGAACATGTACCCAGCATACATACATGTACATGTACATCACTGACCTTCTGTCAAGGTCGGGTGAAGTGTTGTGTCTGCCTGGACTCAGACTACCTTTCCTTTTGTTGTCACAGACCATTTTCAGGTTACTCAACTAGTACATGTATATGTACAGTACTATGAGAATACACAGTTACACTGTGCGCAGCATTTCATGCGTGGATGACATGCTACATGTACATGCACATGTACAGATATAGTACCTTACTGGTACATGTACCTGTATACCGGTATGTACCGTACATTAACATGTGTGTAAATAACATTTTGAATTGACATGAAATGACCTATACATGTAACTGGTCCATATGTACATAATTTGCCCCATGGCCAAACTGTTGTTGAGTTACATGTACATGTACCTGTATGTGTTGTGAATGTGATATTCGTACAAATATTTAGGCCTACAGGTACACTGTATGATACGTAATGTATGCATGCACCTGTACCTGGGAAGGGCTGTGCACTCCATGTACATGTAGTTAGTCCTGAAAATCTGAAAGATGTGACTCATCTTGTCTTGTTCTTACTCACGATGTCGCACATGTGGCCTGTACACGTGACAGGCAACCAGCAGGAAATCACAAAATGTCGCCAGCCTGCTGTGAAATTATCCCACTATGAGTGTTGCAACAGGTGCTGTGCATTTCCACATTTTTACAGTCTGGACTAGTCCTGAAAATCTTCTTTTGTTTGAAAGGTCAATATGTTGCCAGTACTCATGTGTATTACATGTATTTACCATTAGTTCTAGAAACTCCAAAATGTTGAGTAAAAGTCAGTGTTTGTGTTTCATCGTGCTAAAGGAAAAGGAACATATACAGTACATCCTGGTACGTATGCATTGTACCAGTACGTTTCATACCTCTATGAGTATCTTTTTTATCCTCACTTAATTTCGTAATATTTACAGCGTTTATTCAGTAGTACCTGCACATGTACATGTGAGTTCATTTAATTTGATCTGATTTTTTTTATTTTACTCGTCATCATAATTTTACAACTTTTGCCGAAAATAAGGTTCTAATGTCCACATGGACATGTACTCGTGCCATACCGGTAAGTACCTGTACTTTCAGGTTTGCCGTACTTGTACATGTACGTGCATGTTCAAATCCATTTCCCACACATTTTCCCACTGAAAAAATACATGTACTTGTGCATCATCTACCCGGTACATCCTTGAAGAAAAGGCTTTTGCCATTCATACAAGTATGTACGCGTACATGTACTTGTATGCACATGAAGTGGACTTTCAGACAAGTGATTTTTTTTTTTCAAAAATGAAAGTAACAGGTAAACAATAGCCCTAATAATCCAAATGTACAGTATACACCCTAGGAGGTTAGGGTTAAACAAAGTTCTAACCTCATACAGTAATTGCTTTGGTTTTTTGGTTTGTCTGGGAGGGAGGCATTTTTTTGCTCGCCATGTTTCATGTTTACATGTACTGGTAACATTCTCAGTCATTATTTTAGGGGTGGGGCTAGTTGAGGGTGTTGAAAGATACAGAAGAATGCCACTATACCGAACATGTGGCTGTACGTCATCCTTGGCTCCCAGTATGTTGTGCACAAAACCTACCGAACACTATGCAGTTAGCGTGGACCTTGGCATGTTTGTATAGCAGCGTTCCACTGTATATGGATGCAACTCTCTGTCCGACAGCTTCTACATGTACATGTACATGCAGCGTGGTAAGTAGTAAGTACATGTACATGTAGCACTTCTGCATGGTACATGTACATGTTCAGGTACATGGACCTACTTGAACAATATGTAAACATGCTGTACTTGTGCATGTGCATGTTTGCCTGCAGCAGTTTACCAGTACAAATAAAACATGAAAGAAGTTGAGTGGTTTCATTCATTTCACTCACTGTTCTCATAGTCTTGCCATCTCACAGTCACACCTGGGGTCTGGACAAAGGCAGATGTGGGTCTTGTGGTCAAACCAAATAGAGGTACTACCCATGCTACAATGTACATGTAGTCCATGATTACCTCACTTACCTTGAATACTGCTCATGTGTTATAAGGACAGTTTTCCCACAAACCAGATTGTTTCGGGAAGAATTTTAATTATGAAAATTAAATTCATGCATGCACTGTTTCAAGGCAAGTTTGAACTACCACCTGCATAACATGTACGGTACATGTACACGTATTTGGTAGACCTATTATGCAGTTGCTATTTGTGCATTTTATGCAACATGCAGGACATTCAATTTTTTTTTTTAAATGTTGGTGATTGGATAAGCACATACAGTTCATGTACGGTACATGTGGATTTTTTTCTGGGATATTTTTATGTACTCGTATACAGTCGTTTATGTTGCACTGGTGTACAAAACAGTTCATTATCCAGTTCATTAAAAAAGGATGGATCGTTATCTGCATGAAAGGCCAACTTCATCCCAGTTTCCATAGGCACTTGTTTTTTACACGTGTACATAGATTTCATGTGGATGCACTGTTCTGTTCAGTGAAGTTTTAAATGTGTACATGTACATGTACCACACATTCATAGTACATGTATGATATAATACATGTACATGTACATTGTGAACATGTACATGTACATATTCATATTGTATGAGTGCATAGGTTCTTATGAAATTGTACATGTACATGTACACACGTACATGTACATATGAGCTTATGGGGTCCATTGCGCACTGAATTTAGTAAAAGAAAATGAAAACCACAAATGCAGCTGCTTGCAGTCTTATCTGGCGGTATTCCCATTTGTCTTTGACAGTATTTACCATCACTGAACCTGAATGAAGTCCCTTTACTCAGGCCAAATAATCTCTACTCTTGCACATCTTGTTTATCCTTAAGTGATTGATTGGATTTCGCTTCTCCCCATTGCAGGTTATGTACTCTACGGTTAACACACCTGGTGGTGCTGAAGACGCTAGAAACTGACTTGGGTTCTGTCATTATTGCCGTGCGCATGCAGGTATGTGTCACTCCACACATTTGTCCATGGACACAGTGTAACGTCTGTTGAATATGAACATTCTCTGTACATCACGCTGTCCACTTGATAAAAAAATAAATAACCTCTTCTTACAAAATGAAAAAAAGAAAAATTGTCTGTAAGATCTTTGCCATGCAGTGGCCCCTTTCCGCTTCCCCTTCTCCTGATATAATGCCTGTGTGCACTCACCGGTATACGTACATGTATGTATGTGGAAATGTGGATATAGACACGTGAGTACCGTCACAACACACATGTACGGGCATGTACCGGTACTTGTGCTGGGAGCCAACGAAGCCAACCACCATTGAAACCAAAATCATGCACATGATGTGGCACGGTGTGCATGGGCCTTTTCATTTAAACGAAAATGACAACAAAATGCTGATAGCAAAGCTACCAATAATTCCTGAACCTTTTTCAACCTTATCCTTGCATTACAGCATTTGTAAAGCATAAATGAAAGCATTTTACAGAGAATATGAAGCTGAAAATCAGTATTTACAGTGTACATGTATCTGTGAAGTCAGCGATAGCGCTGCAGTCAAACTGCTGATTGAATTGAACTGTAATTCATTGATAATCGCATATTCTGAAACAATCCGAACCAAGCTGAGCGGTTCAGATTTCAGCATTTATGATGTGGTACGCAACTGTACATGTAGCACTCAGAATAAATGTGGTATGAGGAAAGAGCAGTAAAAGAGAAAGTGTATTGAATTTTTGAAGTGCTCCATTCAGGTGCACGTTGCTGTCATCGACTCAAAGACAAGTCCAGAAACTGCCAAACTTGCAAGCTTGCGTGGTTGTGCCATCAGCCCAACCGGTGACGCATGCAACTTGCGATTGCCTTTCGTTTTTAGTACTAGTGTTTCTTTGCTGTAGTTGAAATTCGCTGGATCTTAAAATTGTTTTCAAATCCTGAATTTAAAAAAATGCAGTTGATTCATTAGAATGAAGCATAATACAAAACGTTCTGCCAACTGCTTACTGGCTACAGTGGCCTAAAATACAAATCACAAACATAGGAAGGCCTGACGTTTCAATCCTGCCGGTAGCAGAATCTTTCCTACATGTAAAGGCAAAAATGAAAACTGATTGATTGACCCTCTCCTGTTGACTACTTTGGCTGGTGCATTTCAGCCACGAAATGAACCTGCCAATTTGTACATGTACCATCAGCGTGGTACCGGTATTTGTCTTCCAAAGGATACAATGCAAATGCCATACTGGTTGTACCGGTAGGTTGGCAATGGAATGTTTTTCATGAAATAGGAAAAAGACGTGACTCACTTGAATCAACTTGGATCAAGTATTCTGTAAACAATCAGACTGCATTTTTTGATGTGTTAAAGGCAGTGCGTAGGATTTGCAAGATCTAAAAAATGGGACCGTCAAATCATCTTGAAGTAAATAGTGTCGGACAATCTGTGAAATCTTCCCGCCAGGAATGCTCTCATTTTCCAGAAGAGAGAAATTTTATGTTTATTCCAAAGATCCAGACAGATGATGAAACTTGTTAGCACCATACTCAGTTGTTTGATCTTATGGACTTAAAGTCAAGTAGTCTGGTACAGCACCAGGAGCTGCATTTACAATGTACTTGTACCCTTATTTCAATCAGTCAGCTGTTTGACATAGATTATAATCATTGTTGATGACGTGCTCTACCAGTATGGTACATACATGTACATGTACATTGTACATCAGGTACATACATGTACATGTGTGGAAATGTCTGGAGACAACACACACTTTTCGTACATACACGTACAGTACATGTATCATAGGCACTCAATGAAATCATTCCTGGGTAAACTTGCCCTTTTGAGCATGCATCTGCCACTTCTAACAGTGTAATTAAAAATTCAACAGCCTCTGTCCTGCTCTTCAGCTCTTGGGTAGTGTCTAGAGGGTGAAGGCTGACAACGTCTGTTTGACTGTGATTCTCTGCGCTCTTTGAAATTCTTTCAGCAGAACTGTTTACAGCACCATCGCCCATCTCTCACATTCCATGTAACAGGCCTGTTATCCTTTCCCTAGACTCAGAGAGTCAAATATAAACAACCCCATTCTCCTTGTGATTGGATTCTTTTCTCGATCCTCTGTTTAAATGTCAGGATATTTCTCAGCAGGCTTGTTGCTGCAGCAATGCTAGTACACATACATGTATGCAATACATACAGGTACTGTATACTGTGTGATATCCTCAGTTCAGTAGTAAACGCATTCATGTGGTTACAGTGAGTTGCCATACCGTACCGGTACGTTGTAAGGAGGATTATTGACCAAAACTCTAAATCTCTCTCAAGAAAATGAAGTGATGCTTAAACCTGTGTTATTTCACTCCTTAACGCACTGTGAAATATACCGGTACGGTACATGTACATGTACTCGTAGATGCTAGCACAGTGGTGCAAATAGGGGTACATGTACATGTACATGTAGACTCTAAGGTTGATCAGAAATGTCCTTGTGTCTTTGTACCGATACATGTGCACATGCATGTATGGTAACGGTACTGCACTATACTTGAATTTTGTGTATTGTACAGGTATGTACTGGTACCTTGGCAGGCCTTCACTGAGTTAAGGGGACACTTTCTCACGATAAGCAAATTAGGACAGGGTTGGGGAAACATTTCTCTTTCTGCACAACTTTACCGGTCAAGGGATTGGCTCACATGCATTAATATTTTAAAGCTCTACTCCGTTCACTGCACACCACTGTTTTGGCAGTTCATACCAGTGGAGACGGGATAAGATATTTTTAACTATAAGACCTAATAAGACATGTTGGTACAGTTTAGTCATTTTTTATTGAAACTGGTCTCTTGTGTCTAATTACACTTACATTATTTTCCAACATACGGTACACTGGCAAATGGGAAGCAAGGACGTGCATGTGTATACTGTCCACATGTACATGTACATACATGTACAGTACCTGGTACATTGCTGTCTAACTAAAGTTTATTCTGAATTATCGTAAAAAAACTTCATTACATGACAAGTACATGTATGTTCGGTCCCAGTAGACTGTGCATGCATTTAGTTTGTGTATTTGCGCATGTGTAATAGTGACATAATGGTTGTTGGCCTGAAAAAAATATTCTAGCAGACGACGTATATCGGTGGTGACCCATGTGGGAGATTGTACTGCCATTTCCCTTTAAGAACTTGTATGTGAATAAATTGCCAAGAGTCTATCAAATGGTGATCTTTAATAGCTTCTGGGAAAAATATCGCCGGAAAAAATCAAAGAAAGTGGAAAATGTCAATTTTTCGACAAAGTATAATATTTTCATTTTGTTACCTAGCTTTGTGTCAAATTTTCTCAATTTTGCCGAGTTAACCTTCAAATAACTTTGATGCCACATGAAAGACTAGTAACTCTTATGTACAAAGAAGGTTATTAGTGCTAGGAAGAAAACCGTTTTAGAAATTCACTTCATTTTTAATTGGGACCCATTTCGTCATTTTACGTGTTTACCCAATTTTCACACTTTTGTCGAATTCCCCTCAGATCCTCGGTGATACTGTCCGGAAGACTGATATTTTTTTGTATCTTTCAGTTAATTTTTTTCGTCTGAAAAGCAATTTGTTTTTCATGCAGATTCAAATTTTTGCACTGACTTTAGCAGCGGTCAAAAATGAGATGCCCAGATGTCCGGGCATTTTACACACGTACATACACCGACCTGGGTACGAGTTGGCCTATTACATTGCAGGAATACGTACAATCACGTCAAATTGCCCGACTAAGAGGCGCAAACAAAAACTTTTCATTTTCATCCATATGGTTTCCTTCTTGCATGATACTTTATCATTAGAGCGCACATGATATTCCTCACTATTCACAATGAGAGAAATATCAGGAAAACTTGGCAAAACTGAAAAAAATCCCCTCTAAAATGTTGGCTTCACTTCCAACTTCTGACTCTGTTACTTTGGAGGTACGTAAGAAAGACAGGCAAAATGTTGGCCGATAAAGGATTTCTATCGTGTGCAAGTTATCAAAAGGGACTTTGAGTATTTAAATACTAATCGGTTTGGAAATAAGGGGCAAACACTTATCGATTACTTTAGGGGTCCACCTGTCTGAGTCAAGAGCCATTTTACTGGCTTCTGGCTATAGTGGGATTCAGTACGCATGCTCACAAACTAAGTGAGGGGCATGAACATACATGATGAGCTGCCACATGATATTACAAATGTCAGTTTTGAGTGGCTTGAATAGCCCGGAATGGTTTTTTTGTTGTTGACTAAAACAGACTGTCTGGTCCAATGATGTGCACACTGTGACTGTATGGACCAATTCCTACCTGTACATGTGTGCATGTGTACAGTGCATTTGGTGTGTGTTTGCCCTTGAAGGGGCTCTTTTAAATTGCAAGACTGTTTTGTCTGACAATATTTCTCCCCGTGTTTCTCTTTCTCTCTCTCTTACAGAGTTCAAAGCGAACACTCCGCTCAAATGAAATCTTCTTCAGTCAAGGCAGCTTGCTGGACACAGACCTGGACCTATCGTTTTCATTACAAGTAGGTTTGCTGACTCGCTGTGATTTGTGCTACTGTGATTTTACATGCATGAAAATCCTAGCATATATGTACACAGGAATTGAATAAACCTGTATTGGTCAAGTTGTTAAATGCAGTGCAACCTCTGCTAGTATTTAAGGCACACGTACATGTACTTTGTTTACATGTACATGTATTTACATGTATAGCAATTTCTCTGCCTGTGCATGTACATGTATTAATACATGTACATGTACATGTATATGGATGTACATGTACCAATATGTACTGGTATATGTAACTATCATACATGTACTATGTAGTAGAAGTGCCTAGCCTCACAGGCAAACATGGCGTTACTTAGGGGAAAAAAAAAACTAATTTACATAGTTGCACCTGGTGAAGGCAGAGACCTGGTTTCCCAGCACACAGTCTTTGTGTTTTTGTAATTTGGTGTAGGCAAAATGTTACAAGCCTACAGTACATGTACATATTATGTGTTGGTTGTGGAGCAATTGTAGAACATACATGTACTGTCATTTTCCCTGTAACCCCCGATCTTGTATCAGTGCATGCTGCAAAGGCCCAGAATAATCTGTGAGCGGCTTTCTGTTCTGCGCTAACAGTGGCAAGCCTGTACATGTTGCAATGAATGACTCTGAGTTGGGCCTGATGTGCATTCAGAACAACTGTCTCATCTGAACTTTTGATTTCAGAGAGCATACCGGTACCGGTACATGTAGACATGTACCGGTACATGTACGGTACATACATGTACACGTTGCACATGGACGTGTACGGTACATGTACATACATGTACCAGAACATGTACAGTCCAGTGTGTACATGTACATGTACTGTACAGTGTGTACATGTACAGTGTGTACGTGTACATGTACAGTGTGTACATGTACATGCACATGTTCCTGTGAAGAAGAACATGGTGACTTCACTCTACCCTAAGTTTCTCAACTCATTCAATTAAGGTACTGGTATAATTTGCTTACTGGAATGTGTACATGTACATGCCACATCCAGGGCAGCATGTTACTGTATCTTATGATGGCAAATTGATGCCAGATCCTTGTCAGTAATGCACCCAACTGTTATAAACTACCCAGGTATTAAATGCTACTTTAGAGGATATCCGTGTTGGAATGGGGACAAGTGGTTATGGACCAGCAGAGAGCAGTCAGTCAGGCTGCGGAAGTTGAACATAGGGTAACTAGGCTTTCAGGAGAAAGAGGAAGTTGTATTCAATTAATGTATTGGAAAATGTTGTGACACTCTCTTTGCTCAGTGAGTGGCCGCATAATGGCTCTGGTTGGTGTGTGCACAAATTGGTGCAAGCATACACATGAATCTGTGAACCAGTGCAGGGCTAACGCAGCATGAGAAGGTCAAATTCTACATGTATATGTTGCAAGCATTTGGGACAGTTTTAAACATGATCGTTGTTCGTTACAAAATAGCATTCAAAATAATTTAAAGCATGTATACTGGCATCTCACTTAGACTTAGTATTAAACTGGTACATATACATGTACTGGTATGTACATGTACATACACATACATGTAACATACTTTCTGACAAAGCAGTGCAGTAGGGCACCAAAACTGACAGCTTGCTAAGTGCTGTGGTTGGAATACTTACAGTACATGTACATTACATGTATTTGTACTTGTACCGTAGTTTGATACTGTACGTACATGTACTGTATTTGATGTGTCATGATGACATACCACTTCCTGGTATTTTCACACAAGTGGGAAAAACTTTTATAGATTTTTTTTTCCATTCAGTTGTACATTTGTTGAGCATCTAATCATTTATGGTTTGTGTGGATTTTGTTCTTCCTATACTATTGTTTCCAGTACCCACACTTTCTCAAGAGAGATGGCAACAAATTACGCATCATGCTGCAACGCCGGAAACGCTACAAGAACCGGACGATATTGGGCTACAAGACGCTGGCCGTTGGGCTCATAAACATGTCCGAGGTGTGTAACCCTGCTGGTATTCTTGATAAAGAAAGGAAGAGGAATACTGAGTCATTTGAAGTTTTAAGGCGGCTTTCTTACAAACAACACCACCATGACTACCATGCTGCTCACTGCAATTAGCCATTGAAACATGTGAAATGCATTTTTTTGTTTTTTTCAAATATTGACCATATAGTTTATTGACAAAACATAGAATACAGTGAGCAGTTTGCTACATACATGTACCGGTACAGTGTACATGTATAACATATCGCTATGCTTTATACTTTTTGGATATTGTTCACTATATGTGTACATTGTGGGTGTAAAGCAAAAAGGATCTATGAGCGTTATGTTCATTTATGAAATAGTGCAGAAATTAATATTTGCTTACATCATGCAAGCTTACATTTTTATTCTCATTTGAAAGTTTTCCATTTACTCATGAAAACGTCATCTAGATACCTCACTGCAGAGTGAAAGGAACTTTCCCTTTCCCCCTTTTTTCTCTCTTATCAAATAATTTCCATTACCCCTACATGTTCGGTAGGCACAGCGTACTGCATGTACAATGTACATGAATGGAATGAAACTGGCGCAAAATGAAATAGAAACAGGTTACATGTACCATAGCAATTCAATCCCAAATGAGGAATATTAGTCAGACTTTACACTGTGCAGTGTGCGTGCATGTGTGTTATTACCCAAAGCGATTCTGTTCCTTGGTTAAAATATGGGCTCAGGTTCTCTGTAAGCATACATGTACACGACAAGCTCATAATTAAGAGTTTGATGCATTCAGGTACATGTACATGTACACTGTACATGTGCGATGATCCATGAGCCACCTCATAAACCACATAAACAAAACTGTGGATCAAAGTGCTTTTAGAACACCCAGGTGAAGGTGACTGAAATTGAGTACAGAGTATGTACATACATGTACTAGTAGTTTGTTCGGGTCCATTGCCCACAGTTCGTTGTTTTTATTAGTGGAGTTTCAAAGGAAAATATACATGTATACTACCCCTTGTATTGTTACAGACAAGAAAAAGTTACAGCATTTGATGTCCAGATATTCCTTTTGTAACATTTTCGGTTTCCATACTTGTAGGTGTGACATTTTCTTGAAGATGTACATGTACCGATGTGGATGTACATGTACCGATACATATACAGAACATGTATAAAATGCAGACAGTACATGTACATACATGTAAGTGTAACCGGTAATTCATAGACTTAAAAGATTCTGTGACAGCTAGCTGAATTTTAAATTCCTCCCTTTTTTCCTTGTAATTTTTTTGTTTTGGGGGAATTTGATCGCTAGAAAAAATGTTTGTTTTAAAAGTGCATTTAAATTAAATGCACTTTTTCTTTAAACAGGCCTATTTCTTTATGTGTTTTTTTCATCGAAACTACCAGTAATAATAAGGATTGCCTCTGCATGTACAGTGTACATGTACATGTATGGCTTTTGTGTGTACTGTCAGATTGTTAATGAAAACATGCACACCCCCAAAATGTGCAAATGTACATGTACCGGTATGTAAACATGTTTGGATTCTGAGAATTGAGAAGTTACCAGTAGTGTTAGCAATACATTGCCGGTAGCTTGAGGGGATGGCATTTCATCCACTCTCTAAATGCAAAGTGAACAAACTGAAGTGCGTTACTGATAAGTTATGAAATTAATTTTGCGACTGCCATATTTTCACAAAGCTCCGCCCGATGCTGTTACAAGCTACTTGACAAAACAAAGCAGTGACCTGACACTGGTAACAGCTGGTGGGCCCTGCGGAGGAGTAGCAGAAGCAGCGGCTGGGGTGAAAATCCACCTGACAAATATTTTCATCTTGTGGCAAAGAAAAGATGCTGGTTTGGAGCTTTCGTGTGCAGGATGTTTTTGTTGTAGGGGTTGTTCACAAGACAAAAACTAATGACCCTCGAAATTGGACTGATAAATGGACATGGACATGAATGCATAAAAAGTGTATTGCAGTTCTCCAACAGAGAAATGAATGGATGATTGGAACAGAAACATTGGCACCTAACATTTTCCAAACTCGGTATCAGCTCTAGATGGTACAGTAATTCGATCCATGTACATGTACATGTATGTTTTCATTCTTTTTGTTATCGATTAGAAATGAAAAGCGAAAATTAAAAAAAAATTAAGTTTTCATTTTCAGTTTGAAAACAAATATCATCAGAACAGTTCATTTTTCTTTTTACCATTTAGACATGAGATCTGTGTTACCAAATGGTCATTAAAGCCTGTATGATTTTTTAATACATACATGTGCATGTACATGTAAATGTACACGCAGTCCCTGCTGTCTAGCACAGCACAGGGAGAGAAATATTGTCTGAGGTTGTACATGTATGAGTTTAAAAAGTGAGAAATTTGAGTTAACGTGGTTTCTCATTCTGTGTCCTTTCAGTGCTCAACCTGAGCTTTTTGGTTTTCGTTTTCATACTCAAAAACAAGTCAGCTAAGTATACATGTACACGATACACTTTCTATGGCACATGGACGACTTAACATCATGTACAAACTTGGGCATGCTTGGAAATAATTACAATAATCAATATTGATTTTTCATACTTGCGGAGCATTTGTTATATAATGTATAAGGACAAAAAATTAGCTATTAAACTTGTGATTAGCAATTGTTTCCTAGAGGTACTCAATTTGTAATCTCTATCTGTGGTTTTTTCAGCGCTATGATACCTCTTGTTGCAAATCTGTCTGCAGCAGAACCTTTTGACTAACTGAGATTCTTTCCCCCTCTCTGGATGTAGGTGCTCCAACAATCCAAAGATAATGAGCTTAGTTTGTACGGGAAGGAACATGGAATGGAAAGGGTTGCCCACGTGACCGTCATTGGTCTGTCCAGCCAACCAGTGGACCAGTTCAAGAGAGGCATCGGTAAGGCTCTCCAAAAAGAAAATTGAGTTATCAGGAAGGATTGACACTTTGTTCCATTTTACAATGCTGTACTATCTGCGAGGATGCACAGGAATTATGCAGATTTTATCAGAAGCACATGTAAGCCTGTTTATTGATGGTTGTAAATATGTCCAATTGTGTCCAGTCTGTCGCAGGGCAAAATTTTTTCATTGACTTTTTCGCTGTCAAAATGGTCGCAATGGATTTAAAGCTTACCGATACATGTGTGTGGCACACTCATTCTCAAAACAGGTGAAGCTTTTAGAGACTTTTGCCTCCCTCTGAACATTTTATTATGTCAAGCAAAAAAAGTCGGCGATGGTTAAGTCCATGCATATGCAGTACGTGTACATACATGTACCATATGTGTACTGTACATGTACATTCACAGTGTACCTGTACAGCCAGTTGCAAATTTCACTGCCCCTGGGTGTCTCTTTAAATGTCATGTACCTGTTCAAGTATCATCAACAAGGCTCTCAGTCTCAACTCATGCTGATTGGTTAAGCCCGGCCACCCACGGACAAGTTGATGCCTGTCAGTCGCAAAGTCCAAGGGGAAAACACTGTCTTGGCAGTTTTGGTACATTGTTACTCCATGGGAACTCAGGCCAACTGTGCATTATGTATCACACAGCATCCTCAGTCACGCTATTCACTCTTTGTATGCTACTGCCATAAGCATGGAGGGCCTCAAACTGGCAGCTTGTACACAATAAATATGACTGGTTCAGTGAGTCCCGTGTATGTTGCTTAGTAACAGGAGCCAGTGAACCGGCTATTGTTTTGGCATTTTGCATTTTGGCTGAAGGATGGCGTTGACACACACTTTTTGGGGGTCATTTTTTGCCTGTGTAAATAGTTGCAAATATTCAGACCTGTCTAGTGCTGGGCAATATTGGCATGAATATCTGAAGTATCAACCAGACGTGTTTACAGCTAAATTGGATGCACACCCAGAACTTTACTGAATGCACCTGCTGGTACATGTACAATGTAGGTACACGTATGTTGCCAGTTATAACACAGGTTTTTAATTTAACCAATGCTGCACATGTCCTGGTACGGTACACGCGTACGTGTTTTAAATGACCCAAGTCACTATTTTAGAAGTTTTGAAAATGACTTGTGGAGTTGCAGTTTGGTTCATCTTTTAAAGAGCATATCTTATGACCAGATACAGTACATGTACATGTACCTCGGGCCACGTGTGTATACGCATCCCGTTCAAGAATGTACATGTACAAATGCTGCATCATTGCTGCATGATGAAACTACATGTACAGTGTATGGTACACCTTAACCACAAACACAATGTTAGCAAGAATACCATGGCACTGAAATTTCATTCTATATTTGCCAGTATTTCAGTATTTATGGATCACCAGTTGGGTATTTTGTTTTGGTATTGACATGATTGAAGAAAAAAAAAGCTACTATTTGGTAATACTGAAATACCGTCAAGGCCTAGTAGAGATTTAGTTCACATACAGTATACTGGACGTTATTGAGCATACAGCACTGAATGGTGATGTGTAAATGAAGGGTAGAGTGTGTGCATTGTACCGGTGTTTAAAAATACTGGTGCTCTGTTGGCTCCGGCGGAATATCGGTGTCAGTGGAGATACATCCGGAAGAAAAAGTGTGGTTATTTCACGCCCAACGAATTACGCATACTGTGTCCCCGAGCGGGATTGGGTAAAACTGTGTGTTCAACATACATGTACCGATAAGTGACCGCTGTTGGAATATCCAATATTTACTCCACCCGGACCCAAAGTTGGTTTACTGGAGACAAGCACCGGGAAACTGTATTGTCTTATTATTCTTGTGTAGAGCATACAGCACATTTTTGTACTGCATATTCTATTGGTATGAATGAGCATTTGCTTTTCAGAGTAAGTTATTTACTACATACTTGTACATGTACCGTACCGGTACGTACATGTACATGTACAGTGTACATGTACAGTACGTGTATGACAGACAGTGTATTAAGGTAAACAGGAGCAACTTTGAAAGGGTATTGATTCAAGCAAAAACTTAAATGCACTGTACAGTCTGTTTTCTTTGTACATCTAACTGGAAAAGGTGCATCATGCACGTCTAACCTCAATACTTTCTGCACATGTATGGTTTTCTCCATCCCTAGATCGATCCCCGGATATTGACAATGAAACTGAAGATGAGGAAGAATCCTACTCATCAGACCAGGAGAACAGCGACAGTGGAGAGAATCTCCCAGAAGGCCAGGTAAAAGGTCCTTCCCTGGTTTCTCAGAATGCATCGGCATGTCACTCACATTCTCATCACTCACATTCTCATCACTCACATTCACTCATTTCCCGCTTGTACATGTAGCTGAATCTCCAATTGACAAATTACATGTAAGTCTTGAGCACTCTGGTTTGTTGAAAAACACTTTGTGAGAAGTTGCCTTAGGGATTTAACAAACTCAGCAAATTCCTTATTACCCCCCCTGGTGCTGTTTTACTGTTTTAAACAGTTTCAGTTCGATTTTTAAAAAAAAATGGCAGCTTGACCTAAGCAGGATATGCCTTCAGCTGATCACATCAAAGTCAGTCCACAGCATTAATACTTTCGCCCAGATCTACAAATTTATGCATTCATGTACACGAATAGTTTTCCATACTATGGGTGCGTATCACTATATGCCGCTTTTAACTTAAAATCTCAGGATTAATTCTTGTGAATTGTGAATGCCCTGTTTGTTTGTGGAGACAGTACCAGTAGTCAGCTTTTGGTTTTGAGTGCTGCCAGTTAAAGAAAGTGGAAATCCCATGGCAGAAACATTGTTAAAGTAACATACTGTACGGTACATGCCAAACTTGTTACATTGAAGCTGTACATGTACATGTACATATGTACATGTACAGTACATGTTGCAGGTACATGTACACAATTAGCATTTGTGAATTTTCCAATTTGTCAACACCCTCTGTAAACATGAATCAAATGAGCATGCTCTTTTCCCAAAGAGGAATTAATGAAATCTGGATGTAGACATACAGGTACATGTACATGAACAGTATACTGGTGTGCACACACTGTTCCTGTAGACATCTACCTGTTGACAGTTGGTACATTATGTGAAATATTAGCAGTGCATAATAAAATGGCTCACTTCAATACATGCACTGTACATGTAGACGTTCAGTGGTACATGTACATATGTACCGTACGGATACTCGTAGATTATGTACATGTACACTGTACATGTAAGGCCCCAGTGTGTTCCACCCTTAAGTGGATGACATTTAATATTCCTCAGGACAATATCAGCAGGGATATTGACAGAATCTCATTCCTCCCGTGCTGTTTTGACAGCAATTTACCTAGGAATGTTGGCACCTCAACAGTGAATGACTTGTCAGGGCACCTGACACCCCCGGGGGTTTCTTCTACCCTGCTGCCTGCATGGGCCCGGCCCCTGGCACTCAGAAAGGAACTAGATATTATTTCCCATCTTGAAATTGTATTGATAAGTTGGTATTTCTTTTTCCTGGGCTTGTGTCAATGCCAAGCTGCATTTCTGTATTTTTCTCCCTCCCTGCCAAGATAAATTTCCTCCTTGTTCAGCATTCCAAGGATGACACCTCATGATATTATACATGTACTGTACATGTAATATAAACATGTGTGTAGATGTATGGGCAGCAATTTAATTTTTTCAACACAACATGCCAGCGAAACTCAACTTGAATTAAGGCTGTAATTGTGGCTCCGGGATATATTTTTTTAAGGGAGGTAAAGTCTGACATTTCTACATAGGAAGTTTCTACGAGGCGTGAAGAATAGTCTACTCTCAAGACTGGCAATAAAACCGTTTTCCTGTGGGAAAGTAATATACATGTACATGTACCGGTGCATGGTGTACCCCGGACTGTTGTGTAGGGCTATCAAAAACAAACGAAAAACCGTATACAGGAATGAAATGAAATGAGGAAAATTTAGTCGGTGTGAATGTTGCATTTAAAATTCTTGATAGTGTGACCCTTATACCTTACTGTCCACTGGGATTTCTGTTACTCAGAAAAACAATACACATATCAATGGTGCATACATGTATGTGCATGTACATGTACCATGGATGTTGAAATACTCCGCGTGTGTACCTGTGCATTCATGTATGCAAGATTGCGTTCTGAATTTTTTCGCATTTATTAAAAAATTTGGCCGTTGTTACCAGCAGCTACATGTACGGCACCTTCCTTCCCTCATAAAGTTCTGGTTTGTGTGTGACACAGGTTGGAAGTACCGAAATTGCATATGCATCTGCCTGTTTTAGAATTTCTGTTACCATATGATTGCCATTTACACGTATGTACTGTGCAGATACATGTCAATGTAGGCTCAAGCGTGGCAAACGACATCTGGAAATATTTCACTCATAAAAATCCAACAGTTACACAAGGTACATGTACAAGGACAACTGAATCACAGTTCTTACTGGTACATGTTCATAGCTTCCATGTCCCTCTCAGGAATTATTCCAGTCCCAAATGTTTTATGTACATGTACCGGTACTGTACTTGTGGTGGTGTGTGGTGAAGATCTGAATTTTTTTCGCTTTTATTGACTGTGAAACTTGGCCTAGTCAGTGAGCATGTCTGTCATTTCTGCAGTAGAATGGGTTATCCCAGTATCTTACCAGGGGACCCTTCTTTGTTTTCCAGCAGTAAGCCACTTTATTGGCTTTGGCCATCTCTACTCTTCTCCCCCCCTCCATCAGTAGTCTGGCCCAGATTTCTCAAGACATCACAGGTTGTCATCTCCTACCAGTTAACCAAACAAATTGGGCAAATCAATAATTGCACATACTGCTCCTACATACATGTACTGTACATGTGTTCAGTCATTCAAGCACAGAAGCATGGGCGGAGATCATTATCTCTGTGAGTAGTACTGGTATTGTGGTAAGGTAATCCAGGATGTTTGCTCAAGAATAATCTCCATTGATTGGAAAAACTGGAGTTTGTACAAGTAGGGGCATGTACATGTACATATGTACACGTACCTGGCAAAGGAAGTGCCAGTATATTACAGTACCTGTGGAAAAACAGCATTAAGCTTTATGTTATTTATTATGTAAGCATCATAATGTCAATGCATACAAATAATGCATGGCCACAATTTAAAATCAGAGATATGCATTTGAAACGTGTGGTATGCATGCTTCAGTATCTCTGTAAATGTTCCTCACGATTGAATTTTGTTTCGTCTGTTTTTGTTATAGTTTAGCTAACCATTTCTTCATGAAATTTCAGGGAAGACATGCAGATATACATGTACATGTACCGCTATGGTAATTACTTTTATTTATTTTGTATTGTAGCTCCATGCCTATACAGTAGCATGTCAGCAATACCCTGATTACACTACATGGGTTTACACCCACTGTGTGATTTACTGGAAGGCTACCAAGCTATTGGTGCCATGGGTACAGTTTGCACTGAGGAGAGGAGGGCCACTACTATCCAAATCGTTGATCATGTTACATACATAATTCTGGAGAGGATGTGGTTTCCATTTACATGTACAGTATTACCATGAGCTCTAAATTACGGTCATGCACCTGCAGTGGTATGTGCACAATGTTTGTGCGGTGTGTGCACAGGTGCATGTATTCTTCAAGTTATTCATGTACAGTACACCTCCTGTATGTACCGGTACATGTATTGCTTATGAGTCATAGTGTAAAACATTTGTACATTTTTGTATTGACTTAGATCAGTGGCTGTATGCACATGCCCTGTACATGTACCGGGTACATGTACCCTATCTCGTCTGTCATTTTATGTACGGTTGTGTTTTAATTGCCCACCAAAGGCAAATCTTCATGTACGAGTACATGTACATGAACACTGACTTGTACATGCATACCGGTACATGTACATGCACTGGGTATTTACCATGTCTGAACAAAGGGAAAGAACTACCGGCACCATACTGTACTTTTCATGTTATATCTTTTAGTGAAGGACAAAACTGACAGAGGAAAACATATGTTTATTTGTATTAATTTACAGGGAATTCATATCATTGTACATGTGTCTTGTACAGTGTACAGCACATGAAATTGTATAACACTTTCTTGTCATTACCAACATAGCGGAGTTAACAGTGACATGTAAACATACAGAACTGTATGAACAATATGCAAATGTGCTTTTCATTTGTACAGGTGTGTTTCAATACAGTAGTTCCTTCTGAAATACGACCAACAGAACCTGTGTCTTTTTTAACATGTTAAGTTGTTAAATTGTACTTAACCAAGGATTAGTGATACTTTTTTGGTCAAGTATACCAATGATTGGAGAAGTGCACAAGATGTGTGTATTTTGAAGAAGAGTAGAGAATTTACATGTATACATGAGTGCGTAAGGAAATGAATTGGGTTCCAATCTTACGATGTTAAACAATTAGCACAGGCTCTAATACATACATGTACCCTTGCATTGATATGATCCTTTCTGTATGTTGGTTTATTGTTTTTCAGGATCTCTTGGGTGAGGAAGAGCAAGAGCCTGGACGGAAGGGGCTTCGTACCAAAATGCGACCTCCCATGAACAGGGTAAGGATTCAAAGTCTGGAGCTGACCGTTCGCAGACTCCCTCGTTGGAAATTGGGACACCTTGAAATTCAGAGTTCTCCTGCTTTGTTGACCTGATCTGGAAGCACACTGAAATGCTATTTCTACCATGCAGGGTTCATACGCCTCAAGAAAATTTTTTTCCCATGACATTCCAGGTGTCTTCAAGCAGTAAATTCGAGGACTTTTGTGCCACATCTGGTCCCATTTATGGACTTGGCTTAGGGGCCATTCAAAATTTTCAATGTTTTCAAATTTTGATGTATTCATTTGAAATGGTGGTGAATCAAGAAAATAATTGAAAATCAAAATTCATTTTTCCTTGAGAAAAAAATCCTTTGACTTGCCTGAACTGGGGTATGTGACCGAACTGAACTTCATGACATGTACAACCACGGTACAACATACATGTACATGTACGCACAGTGTACATGTATGCACGTACTGTAAATGTACGTGTATATGTACACTCATATTGAGTTCATGTACCATACCGTTACCATCACAGCGCGCCAGCATTCTAATGTGTACGAACGTTGTCGACTTCGTTCCCATTTTTGTAACGTGAATGATGCCCATGCATATGTGTAAAAGACCGTGGGTGGAGGTGGTTTTTCAGCAGGTGGTGGTCAGTCTTCACAAATGGGTTAATGTCTGTGGGCGTGCGGGTGGTTTGACCTCACTGGTTTTTCAGTCATAGCACTAGTATGCACAAACTGCAGTTCGGAATACCAGTGACACTTTTGAGGGGCATGCACACTGTAACTGTATAAAACTGCACGAGTGTACGTACATGTGTTTCCCCCTATTTCATAACGTTAAACAGAGCAAGCTGGCAATTCAGCCTTGCTGGTTTCTAATGCTACTACTGGCACTTAAACGACAGCTTTTTGGACTTGCGATATGCGACAACCTGGGTGTGACAATGGTAAATAATTGACTATCAGACTTAGCTGAAGTTGAAGATAAAACAAGAGGACCTTTATTAAATTCAGGGACATTCCAGGAATTTTACAAAGCAGTTTGAAAATTTTAGGACATTCAGGGATTTTCAAGGGTCAACTTTTTTTCAAGTACATGTATATACAAGGAATTCCAGATGCCGTGCGAACCCTGGCCATGTCACCCTTTCCAAAATGCTACATGTAACTCATGCACATTCAGATGAATAATGCTGGTAGGCAGTGTTTAGGCACGTGTGCACATTCTGCATCCCACATGCATGACAGGTTGAGCTGTCATGACAGGTCATTTTGCCATTTGTTCCTGCACAGTGGTTTAGCCCAAAGCACTTAAAGATTTTCTAAATTTCATTAAAGGAACTCACTAGCGTATATGTATATTAGGTCATATAAAGTTTCGCTGTCTAGCGAAAATACACTGAAGTGCTTTTAAGAACATGTACATGTACCGGTACATGTACATGTACAACGCTGCCTTGGGTAAAGCCTAACAGAAATATAGAAACAGTGCTAGGCCAAACAGACGTTTCTTTTAAGAATACTTTAAACTCTCATTCATTAGAAGTTTAGCTTCATGTTTTAGACATTTGAGGAATTGTGTATATAGTGTGACAGGCAGCAGTTTTACTGTTGCTATGCACTCATGCTCAATGAACTTTATTTACATGTATATTTTTGTCGACATTTAAAACTAGACCATGTACTTTGGCAGAAGTTAATATCTTCTTGTCAAAAACTACCCATAATAAAAATGAATGCTACTCAGGGACCAACAGAATGACGAAAGTAGCATTCCAGTTGTTCATTGCTGCTTTTTTAATTCTCGTGCTTATGGCAACCAGCTCAGAAAACATGATCAATCTGGAATGAAGTTGTGGTTAATAGCCTTTCGCTTGGAAAATATGTCTTATGCTTTTCTTTACTCGACCCAAAAGATGTGACCCTGTCAAACAACACTGGTATGAGGTTTTTCTGGTCAGAGTGAGAAAGATACACTCCTCTGTTTGTGAAATTAACCCACCGCCTTCTTTCCTGTCCTGGCACCAATCCACAGCAAAGGAATTTCAAGCAGAAGTTCATCGCCCTGCTCAAGAAGTTCAAAGTTCAGAGCGACGACAGCGACACGGAGCAGTACCCTTACGAGGACCAGGACCGGAACCAGATTGACCCGGACTTCCTGCTGTACAACGACTTGGACGACCTGAACTTGAGCGACAGCGGGCCGGACGTGGACCAAGACGACGAGATGAGCATCGGCTCCACGCCCAAGCCTGTCTTGAGGTTGGTGTGCCCGCCATGCTTTGTCTGTCCCATATTTCTTAACCACATACCGGCAGCATTATTTATTGGCAAAATATCTGTCCTTCAAAACAGGCGAGGAGAATTCTTGCCCACTTTCCCATACAGCCAAATGCTACAGATTTGTATTTCTCACCGCAACCTCAGTGTTTTGCAACACTCTGAGACCCATCCATTGAGGGATATTTGCTGCAGCAGCAGCCTAGTTGGAACAGTAAGCCCAAGTTCAACACATGCATGCGTACGCGTCGTTCAAATCTACATGGCGTGTGTATGCAAAGAAAACTAGGATTAGATGTGTTTGCACGTTTGCCACTTGAAGCTCAGGAAACATTTGGTACTTCAACCCATTCGCTGTCTTGAATATAGATTGCCACATTGCCAATACCACCTTTACTTTGAAGTAGTTGACATCAGAAGCACTGACATCATATATTTTGCACTTTGCTTCAGCTCCAGACACTTACTGCAACTCCCAGAAAACACTCCTTTGCATGACTTCCGTTCCCATATTAACCTTTCTTACACTGGCAAACATTGATATGGCTCACATGGTTGAATATGATGTTCAGTACATGTACATGTATGTTCAGCTGTAACCAGCTGTGGTACTGCTCAGTGGTTATGTTACATGTACGTGGCTAATATATACATTGTACCACAGTGGACTTGGTCAGTCTTCCTCTAACCACAGCAGCACTGACTAATCAAACTGCCTTGGTTGGTTTTCTCAGGAAAATTGCAGCACATTTTTTTTCCTCAGCCTCCGTTTGCTACATGTAGCATGTGGGGTTGTGCCTGTTTGTACATGTACATGTACACTGAGTGGTATACAATAATAATTGAAAATGTATAATGCACCGTTTCCATAAAAATGATCAACGGCACAGTACAAGTTAACGTAAAAAAATAATTGATTTAAGAAATTAAAGAATAAGGATAAATGAATGTCACCGCGCTAGTGACAATGAATACTTCGTTTGGGGCACTTCAGCAATGTTCTATGTTGCCCATCCATTTTGGGTACTCTTCTTTGAGCACAGACAGTCAAAAATTCAGTTTACTTTTTCTGCCAATAGAGTTCTTTATACACATGCCAGTCACTCAACTGTCAGGTCACTGATAAATCTGGTTGGCACTGTGACCAGTCAAATTCAATCAACAGACAAAAGCAGGTGACTGGTAGACAAAGCTGGCTTATCAATCAACAGTCAAGGCAGTCAAGGTATGTCCAAGTTACATGAACAGTCCCAGCCAGTAAACGCTGTTTTTATGTACATGTACATGTAGGCCCTGTTTACACCAGTCCCTTGGCTGGTGTTGACTTTTTCCTGAACTTGGACATTTGCATAGGAGGGCTTTAAATGGGGTATTCGCACATGTACATGTACTAGTACTTGGGGTCTTGTGTGCATTTGCTCCCTGATGGATGAAGATGCTGTACATGCATGTTGGTAAGTCCAGAAATTAGGGGTCCAAAAGTGTGACATTTTTGTGACCCTGTTACATCTGACCTTTGTTATTTGACATGGAAATATCACCGAAATTGATTTCAGACTATTACTATTTGTTTGGCAGGTACAGGTAATTTGCATTAATTCATCACTCTTACAAATTAGAAAATGTGTTCTGAACTTGCAAAACCATATGTCAGATGTGACAGGGACACCAAAAAAATGGACCCTTAATTTCTGGAACTACCCATGTATGAAAACCAAGATAATTTCCATGTGTTTCCGCCTATCCATGATACTTTAGAAGCTTCCAACTGCCTGACATCTGTGCCACATGTGTCCCTCACACACATCGTCATGTACATGTACCGATAGTCTTGTACAAATAGACACTGAAGCTATTAAATACTCAAAGGTACTTGATCATCTGCAGTTTACTTACATACATGTATGTACATGCACATGTAGTGTGCTGACATTTTGTACATGTACATTTAGAAAACAATTCAAAAATTGTCATATTGAAACTGCAAATTTGTGTCAGGTACCGGTATCTTGTAGAAATGTTAATTGCAGGGTTTTTTGTACATGTACATGTATGTTGGGATGGGAACTTTACTACTGAAAAATGATCTTCCAGTTAGTTCTGTGAACATCACACCTGAAGCTTTTTAAATGGTTGGAGTTTATTTTGAAGAACTTTATGTACAAATCAACCTTCTGTCTTGGCTTTCCAACCTGTACCGACCATTTCTGACTGACTTTCTGATAGACCCTACTGTTTTTCCTACAGTGTTTCTGCATTTGTTGAAAGGAGCTGCAGTGTGCAGTTGTACATGTACAGTATGTGACCAGCAGCAATTCATGAATAGTTGACTGATTAATGGAAGAAACGTACACACCACCCACAAGCACTTGCAATTTGCTGGACAGCATGGCCACACTTAGATACATAAATCCTCAGGAGTGTTTGCCCACCGCTGACAGGCTCAGATTTCTTAGACAGTGCCATTTAATTTATTGGTTTGCTGGCAGGCTAGCAGGCGCAGCGCTTAAATTTTCAGAAATGAGAACGGGAGGCTGAGTTTTGGAAAATTACAAGTAGATTTTGTTTGTTCTTGCCTTTTACGGTACTTGTATTTATGTAAATATTTTGTTGTGCTTCTTCAACAAGCCTCCAGTTCATTGCCCAGTTTTCAGCTGGTTATCTTTCAGCCAAATGAAGCGTTTTCTTTGCCTTTAATAGATCTCTGCCAGAAGCAATAAAAATGCTCCTTTTGAAATAGTTAAAGTACCAGTAATTTGCTTCTCTCTAATTGCCAATTGCTCTCGAGTCAAAAAAATTAATAAAGTTTTTACTACACATATGAGTACAATGTACATTGTTGAGCAGATCACAAGCCACGTCATGGGTACAGTGTACATGTATAGGCCTACATGAAACAATGATGGTGTCAACTTATTGGAGGTGACTTGAAAAATGAAAGAAAAACTGAAGATTCAACAGCAATCGCAGTGTATTCATTCAAGTGCTTCACTCAGAATATTAAGGAAAAACAGTACTGAACATTTACACATACCGGGTACCAGTGTGCATTGGTACCAGTATACAGAACCTGTAAATCCAAAATTTACTTTTTATAAATGTACTGTACACGTGCATGTTAAAATGTTATGTACATGTACTGTACATGTACTACGTTGAACATAATACACCGATACGTATACATGCATTGTATGGGGTACCTGTACCATCATGTATGCATGCACACTCTACTCGTACTGTACCAAAGGGGTAGAGTGATGAGATTTTCTCTTGATTTACCATACATGTAGCTGTAGCAAGGTAGATTATGCAGAGCATTACCCTTGGGGAGCACTGGCCTGAGAAATGAGATGTCCAGCACAGTGTATAGGGATCAAAGAATTGATAATAAATCAAGCTGGTATACCTGTACTGTTTGTGTGCATACATGTACATGTATAGCAGTACATGCCTCATGTAAAGCTCAGATATCACTTGTAATTAGAATGTTTCATAGTTGGGTGGATTTCTTTGAAAATGTAATCATGCCAACACACGCACCGTATAGTGGTAGTGTTTTCTTTCACTGCATACACACACACAAGTGTGTATTTGCCAGCAGCTGGGGGACCCCCTATTGTTCCTCTTTTGTTTGTACTTTAACTTTTTTAGAAGACCACCCATATGTTTTGTACACAGTTGTCATTCGGGACCCTCTGTCAATTGGGGACGTTATTGTCCTCTATTGTTCAGGGTCCCCAATTGAATGCAGAAACAAAGTCACACACACATCCTTACACAGCTATACTTGCGGGGTATTTCCTTTGTTCTCGTGTACAAAACTCCCACACAACACGCAAAAAATGTCAAATCACTCCAATTTAAACCAACTTCTTTTTTGTGGGTTGAAATTTTGACCGTATGTCCCTTAGGCCTATATAAAACACTTCAATTTGCTACAGATTATTACCCGTCAAAAATTTCCCCTTTTTGAGTTATTTCCAAATATCAGTTTTGGGAAATTCTTGTGGGGTACCAATTTTGGTACCCCACAAGGTCAAAACTGGCCTTGTGGGGTATTTCCCATTGTTCTGGTACCCCACAAGGCCCCATATACAAGCGCACACCTAACTGACGTGTATGTGTATGGTACATGTACATGTGTAGCTGCTTTGGACCATACTGAATTGGAAGGTCCATTCAGGTCAGCATGTCCCTACATGGACATGTTGTTATATTGTGTTAGTACATTGGGGGATGGGTTCATCAAATACCAAAGTGACACAGATTCCTAACATACAGGTGTGTAAGCCTGTATGAACTTAGTGGAGCTCAGTCATTCCTGACTGCAGGTGTGCCAGCACAAAGTCGAGAAATTGACAAACCACACTTCATGAGATTGCAGTTTTTATTTACAATGTGTGTTTAGAACTTCAAATAAGTCAATTCTTCAATGTGCCAGCTCACATGCACTCGTACATGTAATTTCAAATTGTCACTACCCCATGTACAATGTACCGGTACATGTACAAATAGCAGGCCTACAATGTACATGTACATGTATGGATTAAGTGATTATGAGTTCACCCCAAAGCTGTCATTAAGATTGGAAACAAACTGGCCCTACTCTGTTACTGTTAACATTTGGTGTGAAGTCTTGCATGTGAACTCTGACCCGTATCGACTCTTTCCTTTCTCACACCCTATGCTTGAACAGTACATACAACATACATGTACTGTGTAGTACAGTAAGTGTTGGGGAGGCTAGAGCATCAAAACGTCCAGTTGACACTCTGAAATGGTTCTTTTCAGAACTGAACTCTTCTTGAAAAAATACATGTCAATCCCTACATGTACCTTTTCTTGAAGAGATACTGTAGATCCCCCATCTCTTCTTGAAAAAATAGATTCCCGCATCTCTTCTTGAAGAGATAGATCCCCACCACTTCTTGAAGAGATAGATTCCCCCATCTCCT